TTGTGTTGTTGAATTGTTGTGCTGTACTCTTGTTGGTGCGATTGTTCTTGAGTGCCTTTTTTTATCAAGGTTGATAATGGACAATAAAAGGTCATATGCGACCATTTTAATAACGAATGCATTGAGTTTATGGCGAATTCTGCCAAAAACCTGACATAAACGACATTGATTTGAAGGTTGCTAAGCAAGAATTTTTAGGGAAATTTGAAAAAAGTGACGACGAGATTTTGCAGATCGAACAAGTCACCAAATCACAGGACTGTACTTTGTGGCGCCTTCATCGGAGGATAAGGTTGACGGCGTCTTGATTTGGTGAAGTTTGTAGAAGAAGGCAGACAATACAAAAATTATTGGACACGGCAGTTCAATCTTGTGGTTTGTTTATTGATCGCACAAATTTCTTTCTGGCTGCGTCGCCTCCATCTACGTATTACAGTAGACAAGAAATGTACTTAATCCAGGTATAAGCCTACCTGTTTATTGCTTTGCAAAAACTACCTATCTGTTTCCTCTTATTTTGACGGCATAAGATATCCTTATGACCTTCGTGCAATTGTTACCATGTACCACATGACCCTTGTAAACATAATTGTGTTTATTGACATGAATAAACGAATTTGAATGTGAGTTCTTGAATTTATTTTACTAAAGATATCAAATTATTTGAATACATTTTTTCTTAGTCGGAACGCACTGTTGCGTCGCTTGGACTGGCAGGACGAAACAGTAGACGAATTTCGCCCAAAAAATGATTTGCACTTCACAGCCTCCGTTTCATTTTTTATTATTTCCAAATTAAACTCTTTCAGCGTGCTAAAAACAAAGTCCACAGGGTGCTAACGATCCACCTTTTCGATTTTATCCACTAGGATCTTTTTAAAATATCAAGAAGTTGAGCACAAATAGTAAACATTTCCACCCACCATAATTCTTGCACAAACTCAAAATTTTGTAAAAAGCTCTGATAGCACCTTAGGCAATTATGTTCTGCTTATTTACAGAAAAACAACACAAACTGCAGTACACAAATTGAAAGTGACGGCGAAATGGTACATTTCACGGGTCATAAAATTCAAATGAAAATGCAGGAATAAAATCTACCAAATTATCGTTTTCAAAAACATATTTCCTTGACATATCGATAAATAAAGTTCCACGCTAAATTTCCCTATACTTGACTGGAGTGATATCCGAATTCATTCTGCCCTACTGTCGTCGGATTTTCGTTACTTAAATTTCCTGTAATCACTGGGACCAGAAGCTTCTTAATAATAGAACGTGTTTCACTGATATCAAAGATGCAACATTTAGAATCACCTTCCCCCAACCCCCACTTTTTAAGCAGTACATTTTTTTAAGTCAGTGATAAGGAGCCCCTGTAACGTCAAAAACGGAGTTTCAGCAATTGTTACTTTTTCTTTTTTGCCTATAGCACCCTTGCCATTGGACTAAAACTACAAAGCTTTGGCATACTAGTAACCCCGTGTGAAAATTTCATAAAAATCCGAGCGGTAATTTCCAAGTTGCTGATGAGTGATATAGTTTTGTGATGTAGATGTCATATGACTTAAAAAAACATAGCATCTCATTTTAGAAATGTTTCGCGATTAAGGTAAAGTCGGGTAATAAGGCCGTGTTAGTGGAAAATATTTTTTATTAATGAAACTAAAAACGGTTTTAACATAAAATGAACACTTATGCATTTCTCAACACTTGCTTATTACACAAAATAAAACTTATAATACAAATGTTTAAATACATTTTTTTAATAACAAAAAACTGAGTACCTGCATATTGGCCTTATTACCAGGCCAGGCATGTATTAAGGCCATCACAGTAAAATAAGGGCGGGTAATAAGGCCGGATACTTAGGGCATACATTGGGGGCAAATAAAATCCTCTGTGTTTTAGATGGTTAGCCCAACACATTCTTCATGCACCCATGTCCCACAGGATGCACAAACTCTCATATCACCGAAGTGGTCATGGCTGCAAACTGTACACATCCAACTTTCTTGTGATTCGGCACAGCTGGTACTTGGAACACTAAAGGACTTTCTTGCAGTTTGCTTGCCTTTTTTTTGGGAATTGTGTTCCTCAAACACTTGCCTCCTTACACCTCTTGGGCGCGATATTTGAACGCCTTTTTATGTGTTGATACCGTTTTAGATTTCATATCTGGTGTGATAAGAACCTCAGAAAAAGAGTTCTCTTGTGGGGTTTTCTTCACAAAATTAGACAAGGGAATAAGATCTTCTAGATCCCATTCAGTGGATCCTACTCTAATTTCCCTTCCTTGTTCTGTGGAACGCTTGTCTATTTCACGAGTCATCGAAAGGTCATTGCTTCCACCCTCCAGACGATTGCTTCGAAGACTTGTTGCAAACACGTGTTCGGGAGTGGCATGTTTATTAAAGGGACATATCCCAGTCGCCCTGAAGCCAATACAGATATTGCTCATCACACAGGTTTAAAAACATCTGAAAATCGCTTTGTATTTAGTGTTCTATTGGGATTTTGATAGCAGTAATTAAGCAATTCTTGATCCCACTGAGATTCAAACGGGCGAAAAACAGACACGTCCAGGGGTTGGAGCTGGTGTTTGGTATTGGAAGGGAGACAAAAGAGCTGTATGCCTAAGGACTCTGCTTTGTCCGCAATGGATACATACATCTATAGGTAGGTGACTCGATGCACCGTCGAATATTAGAATCGTGGGAGGGGCAGACATAAATTTGGCGAAGTGGTCCAACCACGTTAAAAATGTGCCAGTCGTCATGCTACCTTTGGGTGTCTTGCAAACCTCTGACCTGGCAGGCAATCCATCAGTATATGTAGGTTTCTGTCGCTGACCTTTAAAAAGTATCATTGGGGGCACCGCTTGACCAAAGGCATTCGCACAAGCCACAATGGTAACATTATCTCCATGTTCTGGCGCGACTGGGTGTACCCTTCTTGATCCTTTCTCCACTAGCACATGTTGTTGGTGATGCAGGGTCAGTCTACATCCCATCTCGTCCGTGTTGTAGAGGTTTTCAGGTCGGTGTTTTAAACCCGTTCTATCCAAGAGACTACCCAATTTAGTAAAGTAATCATCGACAATGTAGCGGTTCAATTTTTGAGCACGCGCGGGATTCAGTTGCTGAGTTCTGCTTTGTGATATGTTGGGAAGGAACGATACCATGCCTTGCCTGCCAACTGCGTTACTTTATTAAATTTATGTGGAACACCAAGTGTTTCACAAAATTTGAAAACGCTACGACGCAGACTTTTTGACATGAGAGGCAAACCTTTCTCAGCAAATCGAATGATTTTAACCGCCAAATCGTTTTCTTGTTGTGTGCTTAAAAGGGGTGTTGCACCTAAAGAACGTTTTGATAAACCGGATTTCAAGTGGTTTCTGAGCGTACGACGAGGAATGCCACAACGTCCTGCTACCGTTTCTTGCAAATTCCCTTCTCTTAACAACTGTAAAGCTTCTGCCACTGAGCCCTAATGTCTCGATTTTTCTTCCCCATATCTGCGAAATCGGAACTGTCTAATTTTATACATTATTTTATAGCCTTATTATCTGTCCTACTAATAGCAAACTATTAGCAAAACTGTTAGCAGAGCAGGCAATAAGGACGCGGCCTTATTACCTGGACAATGTATTTGAAATATTTTAGGTTATGAATCTTCTATTAATGCTCAAATAAAATACATTTATCTATTAAACATTTTGTTAATATCCATAAAACACAAGCAAACAGACGGTAATAAATATGCACTTGTTTTTCTGTAAATATAGCCTACATTTTGCCTACGATTCTTATAACCTTAGGAAAATCACTCCCATAAAACAATCAACGACATACAAGCCGTTAACTGAATTCAATGAGCTCAGATTCACATACCTGTTAACAGATGGCACTGTATGTACCAGTATTTAATTTATTTTACTTTTGATGGGCTTTCGGCCTTATTACCTGTCCGGCCTTATTACCCGAAGGTACCTACAATACATCCTCGCCACTGGCGTGGGAAGTAAAACGGCTTTAAAATCAGCGATCGCGATTATGAGTACCTATTTGCAGAACGACTTATCTATGCGATATTATATGAAATAGGGCCACCAAATTATCTGAATACGTCCTTTCTTAGTCCGTACATTGCGCCGCAACGCTTGGTTTGGCAGCACGAAACAGTAGACAAAATTCGTCCAAAATACTATTTGTAGAGGTTTGCGCGCTTCAAAATTGGCGCTTTATTTTTTGATATTTTTGAATGAAATTTTCATAGTGTGCTGAAAACAAAACCCTACAGGGTGCTATAGAGCCACATTTTCATTTTTGTCACTAGATTCTTTTTAAAAAAAGTTGAACAGAAAAAGTGCGCACTTCAACCCATCATAAAACTTGTGCAAAAACAAAATTTCAAAAAGTGCTCCTATAGCACCCTGGCAATTATCTTCTGAACATACTGTATGAATTTCATTCCAAAATATGGAAAAATGGTGTGTCAGTTTCGAAGCAGCTGAATCCTTGTAAATGGCTTGTAACTCACTGCGTCGGAGCCGCCCACCGAAGCGGTAGAGGTACGGTGGCACAGGGTCGGACCAGGCGCCGACATCGAATTCGCCAATAAGAGCTAGCTGCTGGGCGATCTTGTGAATATTAGAGGCGACCTTGCTTTGTTTTTACTCTACCTGGGAATGGGATAGACCATAGTACTGTAATATAAAGTCTTTGTAATGAAAAAATATTTACTAATTTTTAGTTCGGTTAGCTTATAAAAGCGCGTTTTTTTAGTTTTCTTAAACTATTATTTATTTTTAATTTTTTAGTCCGATTTACCAATTAGTTTTTTATGGACATGTCATGATATTGCATTGTCATCGGTCCTTGATACGCGTGCGAAGTTTCAGATTAATCAATATTCTGGAAATTTGACGAAAATTATGCTCGAAGATTCCGTTACACATATAAAAAAAACTAAAAAAAAAAAGGTATACCACAATCAGTTTCCTGTGAGGATTGAACTCATGACCCCTGGTTTATAAGCCCAGTTTTCTGCCACTGAGCTACAGAGATATTATGTGATTTTTAATATCCTTAAAGCGGCATTTGAAGTCCGTGGCTTTTTATTAACACATCTGCTTTTTACAGAATTTTATGAATAAGGATAATGGAAAACTGTTATCAAATTATCTCATTTTCACCGGTCCTTGATACTAGACTTGACACATACGACTCTTTTCTCTGAGCTCGCTCATGTCGTTCATCTTCAGTTCGGAGTCGTTCATTTGAACGATACGATTACCGACCACCTTCGAAGCTGAAGAGAGTATTGTGTTGCCTATAGTAACAACTCACTCAGTCAAAGAATATAATATACATCATACTATTAAATTTAATGAAGAGTTAGGGTTGCCTATGTTAGACGATGGGATGAACTTATTAGTCTCGGGCGTTTGACGCAAGGTGGTGCCAACGTCAAATTTACCGATAAGAACCCGAACGTACCATGTGGCCAACTTTGGACACATAATAATAATAATAATTTATTTTTCTTGAGACATGGAATCCGTCAGCGCTCTCCCACACGATGTGGCGAATGGCCATGTGTCCAACGTTGTAAGGCATTCGCCGCATCGTGTGGGAGCGGTTCGATTCGAGTAACTGACGTCATCAAACCCTGTGTCATTTTATTAGGCACCTTTACTGCTCTTTCCTTGGAATGGCCCAGTAGGTCTATTACCTACCGTGTTGTTTTATTAATTGCGTTCGCGGGTCGAAAAATGAACCAGTTCGGAACTAAAACTGAACCATCCAGAATTACACAAATGCGCATGTCCAGTTATTTTCTATATAGGTCGAGATTTTCGTTTACCGCGAACGACTTAGGAACTGTTTGCGTATTTAACACTGTCGCCAATTTGCCCTCTATTTTGTGCTGTTGCCAAGCTGCTATTTGATTGACACTATTGACAGCTTCCAGGTGTTGTCGGTACTTCAATAACTTCCAATAGTTCTTCCAAATCATCATCACTAAACGATAAATGGCCCGACATCTTAAGCACAAAATCTTAAGCACTGAATCTTAAGAACTTGAGATGGAACACACAAAACATATGTATGGAACAGCAAGCACTAAAAAGCACAGGTGACAGATTTTCACAGAATAGGTTAAACACTTTAAACCCGAACAGAGGCAGCGGAAGATGAAATATCAAATGTCCATAACGATGCTATTGCGCATGATCAGTCGGATCGAACTTTTAGTCTCACCAGAAATCTGAGAACTGTCAGGACCAATTCGGAATCAGTCCTGTACCAATTCGATATGATCCGCGAACGCAGAACTGTAACTAAAAATTCAGAATTTTCTTACCGCGAACGCCGATTTTTGAAGTGCGCATGCGAAGTGGTTCAGAATCAATCCCGAATCGGAACCGCGAACGAAACTATTTCCATATGCAAAACTTAAAAGACATCCCTCGTATTCGCTTGAGACATGCGCACTGTTGACAACGCCATCGAGAACAACGTCCATTTCAAAACTCAAATCCGTTAGATTTTTGAATTTTATCAGTTTTTCTTACAATATGTGCTTCTACATTATCATTATAGCTTATTCTCCTGTTGAAATGATTTTCTTAGCTTATGAATTTTATGTATGTATTCCGCTTTGCACTTATATCCTCTATGGTGCCGAATGGATAATTCACATTTTATACAGCATGATACTGGAATCATTCGACTCAACAAACTGGTAAGTGCTATCATTATAATTTTGTGTGTAATTAGTATATAAACGAGGGGCTGAAGAACCAGATTTTCAAGAATCATCAACCTTGTTTGGTTATTGCAACACAAAAAATACGATCCATCTTTCTGGGTACTGACTAGGCATCGTTCGCGAACGAGTCGTTCAAAATGAACGACTCTTGTTAAATATGGCTCGTTCAATTGTGCAAAGCGTGACTGTACAGTACAAAAAGTAAAGAGGTTAAAAAAAATGAAGATTTTAAACATAATAATATGTATTTTCGAAAAAGCAATAGCATAACACAAAAATGTTGGTTATTCGCTTGGATTTGATTTACGCGCCGCACCATGAGTAGAACTGCGCTGGCGCGAATTTATGACATGCGCACTGTTGACGACGCCATCGAACAAGGTGTATTCTAAAGTTTACATCCGTTAGATTCTTGAATTTATCAGTTTATCTTATAATACGTTCATATACATTATGGATGTTTGGGATTATGTAATGATTATGAGTATTTTCTTATTCTATGCATTTGTTTTGGTTGCCGATTATATACGTTATGGTATCGAATGGGTTATAGATGTCATATACCGTTTCATATTAGAAATGGTAGCATCATTTGACTCAACAAACTGGTAAGTACTTTATAATTATCATTATAATTTTGTGTGTGATTAGTATCAACGAGGGGCTGAAGAACCAGATTTTCAAGAATGATCAACCTTGTTTGGTTATTGTAACACAAAAAAAACGATCCATCTTCCTGGGTACTGACTAGTCATCGTTCGCGAACGAGTCCTTCACAATGAACGACTCTTTTGTTTAATATGGCTCGTTCAATTGTGCAAAGCGTGTCTGTACAGTACTAAAAGTAAAGAGGTTAAAAAAATGAAGATTTTAAACATAATATTTATTTTCGAAAAAGCAATAGCATGACACAGAAATTTTGGTTATTCGCTTGGATTTGATTTTGGCGCCGCACCATGTGTAGAACTGCGCTGGCGCGAATTTATGACATGCGCACTGTTGACAACGCCATCGAACAAGGTATCTAAAGTTTAAATCCATTAGATTCTTGAATTTATCAGTTTATCTTATAATACGTTCATATACATTATGGATGTTTGGGATTATGTAATGATTATGAGGGTTTTATTATTGTATGCACTTGTTTTGGTAGCCGATTATATACGTTATGTTATCGAATGGGTTATAGATGTCATATACCGTTTCATATTAGACATGCTATCATCATTTGACTCAACAAACTGGTAGGTACTTTATAATTATCATTATAATTTTGTGTGTGATTAGTATATCAACGAGGAGCTGAAGAACCAGATTTTCAAGAATGATCAACCTTGTTTGGTTATTGTTACACAAAAAATACGATCCATCTTCCTGGGTACTGACCTACAGGGTGTATTTAAGTGAGGGCTAAAAACACAGAATATAGAAAGAAAAGTTCATGTGAACATATATCCTAAACCTCTTAACTTTTGAACTACAGGGTGAAATATTTTAAGAAAAATTCGTTTTCTTATCATAACTTTAATACTGTTGTAGATATCTTAATGAAATTTGTCATGCACCTACCAAACAACCAATTGGCACTTTTTATGTAGAATATTTTTTAATATCTCTACCAGTGGCGTCCGTACAGGATGTATACTGGTGATTTAAAAAAAAATATGGTACGGGATCACTTTTTTCGCTAAAATCTCATGTGATAATTTGTAGGTAAGATGTGCTTTTGTTTGAGTTTTATTTAAGTGAAACCAAATGGGTACTGTTGCTTCTTGTAGAACTTAGAATTTTGCTGTTTTTTCACTTCAAACTTAGGGTAGTCCGATAGATTATTTTAAATGAAAAAAGTGTGGATGAAGCACGCTTGTCTAGAACATTTTTTCCCAATACACTGTATTTTTAGCAGTTATTTTCATCATTATTTCCACCGCCATCTGCCATAGGACGTTGACGTCATGTATGAGAGGCGCTTGTCTGCGGTGTTGCCGGATTGGGCTCCGCATTTAGGGAAAAATATGAAAAGTGGAAAATTTATAATACATATATTAATTAATGAAACACAAAAACGAAAAACTGGAGCAAACAACAGTAGCAAAATAAAAAAATAGTAAGTATAAAACAAAAAATAACGATAGTCAGCTAAAAAACAATAAATTCTCAATACTTATAAAAAATAAAAACAGTGGTAAAATAAAAAAAATAAATCCATGTAATTATAAAAAGCAAATAACAAACAATAAAATAAAACGTAAATTTTTTATAATTACATGGAATTGTTTTTCATTTTACTACTGTTTTTACTTTTTGTTATCACTTACAGTTACTTTTTATTTTACTATTTGTTATTTTTTGTTTTTTATAATTACTTACAATTTATTTTTTATTTTATACTTATTAAGAACCGCTTTTTATTTTGCTATTGTTGTTTATTTTAGTTTTTCCTTTTTGTGTTTCATTAATATAAATGTATATAGATTTTCTACTTTTCATTTTCCCTAAATGCGGAGCCCAATCCGGCAACACCGCAGACAAGCGCCTCTCATATATGACATATGCACAGACGTCAACGTCATATGGCAGATGGCGCTGGAAATAATGGTGAAAATAACTGCTAAAAATACAGTGTTTTGGGAAAAAATGTTCTAGACAAGCGTCTTCATCCACACTTTTTTTCATCTAAAATAATCTATCAGACTACCCTCTAGAAGAGAAAAAACAGTGAAATCTGAAGTTCTACAAGACGCAACAGTACCATCAATTGATTAAAATAACCAAAATGGTTTTTATTTTTTACGCGAAAAAGGTGCATCGGACTGAAAAAAGTAAAGAGGTGAAATTTGTTGCAAAACAAGTGAGGAGAATATTAAAGATCATTCTCCATCAAAAAATGCCTATTGGTGCTTAGTAGGTACATGTCGAATTTCATGATCATATCTAGGACAGTATTAAAATTATAAGAAAACGAATTTTTTCTTAAAATTTTAGCATTCTGTAGCTCAAAAGTTAAGATCTTTAGGACATGTGTTCATATAAACTTTTCTTCCTGAAATAAGCTAAGGAATCATATCCTGTATTTTTAGCCATCAATTAAAGTAGACCTAGTTAAAATCGTTTGTTTCTACAGCTTCTGAAGATCTAAAATGCCTAACTTTTTCCTTAATGTTTTCATGCTGAGTCTAAAATAAAAAACACTAGAGCTGTTACCATTTCTTTGTATCTACAGAATTTTCATAGATATGGACATTCTACAGGGTAGCCCATCCATGTGTGGACGGAATATCACTCATAAACAAATACATTTTGAGAAAATCTATTTGTGGGATGCTCTCCGTGACATTGGACGGCACATTCCTAAAATATTGGTCATTATACAGGGTGGCCCAATTTCGACCAACATATCAAAGTTGTGATTTTTCGAATAGATGCATTTGAAATTTTTGAGAAAAACTACAATTCGCGTTTTTGACCACCCTGTATGAGAAAAATTATAAATTCGAAAAAGTAACAAATAAGATACAAGCTGAGGTGTCTAAGTTTTTTTTATATAAAATTCAGCACTCCAAATTTCAAAATGTCGGACTGAGGGGTTGCCGAATTGGGAGGTTTTTCTAGACAAAACACCTTATATCTCAGTAGCTAATTATCAAAACCTCATAGTATCTCATATCAATTTTCTTCTTTTGAATTAGTTTATCCAAATATGCAATAAAATTTGAGGCATTCCATTTAAAAAATCACAACTTCAATATGCAGGTCCAAATAGGGACACCCGGTATAAGTGCCAAAATTTTATAAATGTGCCCTCAAATGTCATGTTTAACATGCCATAAATAGATTAACCCAAAATGTATTTGTTTATGAGCAATATTCCGTCCACACATGGATGGGCCACCCTGTATATCTACTGCTCCTAATTACCTTAAACGCCACTGGAGTCGCAAGTTGTATCTGATACGTGACAACCTTATTTCTAGTTCTATGTTCAACTTAAAATGCTCACCCTGTTCTAAACAGTTCACTGTTGACAAATCCATCGAACAAGAAGGTGTATTCCAGAAGTTAGGGCAATTAGCATCTTCTTATTTCATTAAATTATCATTTTATCTTGTTATTTATACATATACATTATGTTTTGGTCGGGTTGTTTAAGAATAATTTTATATATTTTTATATTTCTTATAATTGTTTTTGTTGTGGAATCAATATCGTACGGTATCGGTTGGCTTTTTGGAAAAATATTCCGCATCATATTTGATCCAAACAACAGGTAAGTGCTTTATAATTATCATCATTATAATCTTAAGTTTTAATGTATAAACGACGGGTTGGAGAAGCGGATTTTTTATGAATGATCAACCTCAAAAAATGTTCACAAATATGCGACATTCCACGTTTACTGCTTCTAGTTACCGTGCGCGCCACTCGAGTCGCAAGTGGTACCTGCTATGTGACAATCTTATTTCTAGCTCTATGTTCAAGTTAAAATTCTCACTCTGTTCTATACAATTCACTGTTGACAAATCCATCGAACAAGAAGGTGTATCCCAAAATTTAGATCCGTCAGCTTTTTAAATTTTGTTAAATTATACATATACAATATGTACAAGCGTTTTTTATATCTATATGTGAAAATTTTTGTATTTGTTACGATAATTTTGTTTTTACTATTCCTTTTCGTGAATGCCATTGATGTTCTTATAAAACTGATTTATTTTATCTATTGGTAGCATAGTTGCTTAAACAAACTGGTAAGTGCCTTATAATTATCATCATTATAATCTTTACTGTTCGATGTATAGACTAGGGACTGAGGAATTAGATTGTCTATCAGCCTTGTGTGGTTAAACACAAAAAATACGATCCATCCTCCTGGCTACTGGTCTAAAATATTGTGTTTGTGTGTTTTTAAAGTTTCTGAAGATCAAAAATACCTAAATGTTTTCTTGCGCAGTCTGAAATATTTTAAAGGGCTTACGAAGTTTGAAAGTAGAAAAATTTTCTCAATACGACTTCACCTAGTTATTACTTATTTCATGTTTTGTGTTTAAGATTGTGTTCTATAAAAAAATTGCTTCTAACACTGCTGATAAAAACCATCGAACAAAAAGGTGAATTAAAAAAATTACATCCACTGGCTTCACATATTTCGCAAAGTTATCCTTATCAGTTTGCCTTATTACATTTAACATAACATGTATTCATATGTTAGAATATTCTTCTATATTTATATATGCATTATGGCTATCATGATTATAGGACCTATAATTAATTTTTTTCTTGAAGGTTTTGGGGTACTACTTTCGTTTTTCTACCCTGAAGCAAATGAGTGGTGAGTGTTTTATATTTATACTCTTTGCATCCTCATAAACGCACTGTACAACTCTGGCGTATTACTTCTATATATGAGAGGCCCCATTTTTTAAAATATGATCAAACGAGAATTTTAAAAGGCAAATAGTTCATACAGTTTACATATGTAGATTAGAAGCCATATTTCACTCTCTCAGGATCATTGATGAAATTAATGACCCATAAGCTTTGAATGTATGTTTTTTGCGATTCTGAAAATTATTGGGCATATCCCAGAACTTTTTGAAACGCCACTGAAAAGTCGCAAGTGGTACTTGGTTTGTGACATTCTTGTTCTATGTTCTATCCTTATTCTACCAAGAATAAATTTACTTCCACCCAGACTATGGGACAAAACTCGTAAGAATCAACATCTTGAAATTCAGAAAATTACCCTTTTGCCTTTACAAAAATGTTTGCGTATTTTTATATATTCTACACTATGTTTTTTAACCATATATTTATGGGGTTTTTTGTACCTACAGTGCTTCTTTGCATTATAGTAATTGTGGAGGCAGTTTTATTTCTCATGCGACTCGTATTTTTGTGAACAAAATGGGTGGTAAGTGTTTCTATTTCTTATGTTCTTGTTTAATGTATGATGGAGTGGATCCATTTTGATAGACAAAAAACATATATTGTTTCAATTTCAGATTTCTAAATTCCACTTGTTTATATTATAATAAGAACTACAACTCGTTAAAATATATAAATTAATTTTTTAACCCTCTTTGTCCAGAAAGTCATTCTGTTTTTCATTAACATACATTACTTGATTGATACTCTTTATACATACGCGTGTTTCGTTGTTCGCATTTTCTATGAGGTTCATATAAAGTTATTTTCATTCTGTTTTCGCTTTACAATTGCTGCAGAAGTAAGATTCTGTGTTCTGCAGCTTACCATTAAAGTTCTTCTCCATATACAGGATCGCCCGTCCATGTGTGGACGGAATATTACTCGTTATCAAATACATTTTGGAAAAATCTATCTATGACATGTTATGCATGACATTTGAGGGCACATTTCTAAAATATTGGCAATTATACAGGGTGTCCCAATTTTTACCTACATATCAAAGTTGTGATTTTTTAAATGGAATGCCTCAAATTTTATTGCATATTCGGATGAACCAATTCAAAAGAAGAAGATTGATAACATACTATGGGGTTTTGGTAATTAGCTACTGAAATGTTTTGTCCAGAAAAACCGTTCATTTCGGCAACCCCTCAATCCGCCATTTTGAAATTTGGGGTGCTGAATTTTGTATCAAAAAAACTTACACACCTCAGCTTTTATCTCATTTCTTACTTTTTCGGATTTTCATTTTTGCTCATACAAGGTGGTCAAAAACGCGAATTGTACTTTTTCTCAAAAATTTCAAATGCATCACCCTGTATATTTGAGCAACTTTGGATTCAATTTCTTATAAGCTTTTTTTGATATCAGGTTTGATTCAGATAAAATCACTAGATTTTGAGTTACTAAGCTTTTAATAGAACAACACACCAAAATTAAGGAAAATAATCACATCATCCATGGAAACAAAAGACAAACAGTGGACTAGTTCCATATTGCCACTAAGAGTACAGATTTGTCGTAAAAACTAATAACAATCACAACAGTATTCAGCTTCAAGCGTAACAGAGAAAGACAACTATAACAACAACATAAACAAACAACTATCACTACTCGAGACCTAATCTACAAAAGCTGCTCGAAAATATCTCCACCATGTTGAATACACAGCCGTAGTCTTTGGATAACTGACCGTTGCACATCCCTCAGAATGTGTTTCCTTATGTTCAGAAAAGCATCCTTAATCCTGTCCTTCATATTTTCCGGGGTAGATGGTGGATATCTATAAATCTCTTGCTTAACGTAGCCCCATAGAAAGAAGTCCATCAGTGTCATATCTGGTGATCTAGGAGGCCAAGATATAATGCGAGATGCTAGGAAGTTGCTTCGTCCAAAACCATATTCACCATTTCTTCTTTAGAAAAATTCATTTTCATACACGTTTTTAATAATAATGCTCACAAAGCTAATTTTGACAGTTTGTAACTAATCAACAATTTATTTGTTTCCAAGGATGATGCGATATTTTAGAGAATTAAGCCGTTCCATGAAAGACGTACTAATAACCGAAAAAATAGCAGTAAAAACCCTTGTGTCTAGTATCAAAAAAAAGCTTATAAAAAATTGAATCCAAACTTGCACAAATATACAGCGTGATGCATTTGAAATTTTTGAGAAAAACTACAATTTGCGTTTTTGACCACCCTCTATGAGCAAAAATTAAAATTCGAAAAAGTAACAAATAAGATAAAAGCTGAGGTGGGTAGGTTTTTTTGGTACAAAATTCAGCACTCCAGATTTCAATATGGCGGACTGAGCGGTTGCTGAAGTGGGGGGTTTTTCTGGACAAAACACCTTATATCTCAGTAGCGTATTACCAAAACCCCATAGTACGTTATATCAATTTTCTTCTTTTGAATTGGTTTATCCAAATATGCAATAAAATTTGAGGCATTCTATTTGGAAAATCACAACTTTGATATGTAGGTCGAAATTGGGACACCCTGTATAATGGACAATATTTTATAAATGTGCCCTCAAATGTCATGTATAACATCCCATAAATAGATTTTCCCAGAATGTATTTGTTTATGAGTAATATTCCGTCCACACATTGATGGGCCACCCTGTATATTATTTTATCACTCGTGACATATTTATGTGAAAAAATGAATGGTAAGTATTTAATATTATTATAACCGTTCCAATTTAATGTATAAATAAGAGGGTCTCTTTTGACGAATAGGATGTATACTGTTAAAAAGGAGGCGGCGTAAAATTGAGTCATTTATTTTAACAGCTTGTAGAGGCTGCAATACCAACCCCAAACAAAATCAGTCAAGCTTTACACACTTTTCAAATAACTATTGAGCAACAAACGGAACATACATCACTTTTTAAGTGCAATCTGTATAGCTAATATATTTCAGAGAACATATCCTTCGATACGACTAAAAATTTTCGAACTCGAACAATTTGAAACACATGAATCTCCTGAATTGCAGAAGCTCATTGATTACGTTCGGATATTTTTGCATCCTGAATTTTGTTGTCGTACACGCCACTGGAAAAACGTAACTGGTATCTTTTTATTCTTATTCTATGTTCTGTGTTGAAATAGAATTCTATCTTTCTTCTATCCAACATTTACTTTCGCCAAGACCATCGAACAAAGAGGTGTGCTTTAAAAATGTTTTCATGAACTACTCAAAATTCTCAAGTTCATCATTTTTCCATGTTATAAATTTCTTAGCGTCTTGACGGTGCTTGTAATTTTGCATTTATAACATTTTTTTGCTTACAGTGTTTACTATTCTATTCTATCCGTGACATAATATTGTGAATGAAATGGGTGGTAAGTATATTTATTATGTTCCTTTCGTTCTAATGCATAAATGTGTGGCTTTATTCTGATAAACCGGAAATATGTAAAAAAATCATAAAACTTGTATGACCAAAATTATGTGATTTTTTAAAGGCAAATGAGACCCCAGTATTCTGCTACCAGCTAAAAACCACATTCCACTTATGTCAAGGTCATTGAAAAAATTTGCTGTCATTCTGTGTTACTATCCCTGTTAGTCTGAAATTGCAAAAATATTTTTGCGAGTTTTTTCATAATCTGTATTAAGTTTGGAGAAATGAGTTTCTGAAACCTAACGAATGTTTGTATTTTATTTGAATTAAATATGAAGGGTATTTTTTTTTTGATAAATAAGGTATCCCAAAAGTGAAAGCAGACCAAACATTTCTTATTTGTTAGCGTCCATGCCTTAATTTTTTCCAGATATTGAGGTTAGAAATGAGCTTTTCGTCATATGCGAATAGGTCCTCAGAATCGTCATGTTTTGGAAATACCCTGTAATAAAAACGCTAATAATTCGCCGATGGGGCAATTGTCTTTAAAATATGCTCATTTTGAATAGTATAATTTTACTTTCACTTTGTATAAAAATTGTAGACGTGTAGCCTCCAAAATGTATTATACAGTAGTTAGTTGAATTTCTTCAATAAAGTTGTACGTCTCTTCTTTTAACTGCCTGTTTGAAGCGACGTTGTAAATCCTTATCATCTAATTATTTCATTGTCTGTATAGAGATTACTAAAAAATAATGTTATCAATTTTGTTGTCAAAAAATTCATTTTTCCTCAATCGTGGCTTGCAAATAAATACTGGTACAGCTCTGAAATTCTATGCCAAAATTCCACTTGTCTTATCTTTTCTCTTCGAAACCTCATTGACTTTCTTGAAAATTCAGTTTTCAATAAAAGCAAAGAGTTTTTGAAGAGAGAAAGTGTTAAGAAAAAAAGTAATCGCCATAAAGTGGAACATTCACATACCGTTCTAGAGCTGTACTATTGTTTGTTAACAACCCAAGCGCGATTCCTCTGTTTTGTTTTTTAAAATCCCGTAATCAACTTGTTCCAAAGAAAAAAAGAGTAGCTTCTAGAAGGTGCATCACTCCAAAATTACGTTTTGTATTACACGTTTAAAAAAATCATGATAGTATCTTTTAATAATCCGCTAGCATTGTGAGGTATGCCTATAAACCTTATGCCTCGTCAGGTTTAAATTTTCAGGCAGTTCAAGTTAGTGTCAATTTCGAAATCTAGAAAAACACTTACTAAATGAATCCTTGTAACCCTCAAGTTGTACAGTAGGCTTATTTCTTTTTCATTAATCTATGTTGCATTTACTAGGAATTGTATTCATTATAAATAAGAACCCTACATTAGGGCATATTTTAGGATAATATTAGGTAAGCTATAACCCCATATAAGGTCTATTATGTACGTAGTTACCAATTCTTAACAAAGGTTTCAACTCTAGTGACAATTCAATTTTTTAATTACTAAAATTTGACAAATATAGATAACTTTGTCTTGGGTGGACTCCATTTTACCAAAATGCTAGTTGCTAGCTATTGTCAAGAAAGAAACTGATACCCATTGTTTTTCAGTCATTTCTATACAAACCATGAAACAATCAGACGAAAAGTATTAAGAATTCCACAGACAGGCTGTTGAAAAATGTGACACGCGACGTTAAACCGTTCATTTGTTACAGACAAGCCCGTAATGTATTTTCATTTCGCCAGTGGCGATACCCGACTAACATTCGCTGTTGGCAGTAATCCCATGGCTGGCCAGCAACCCCGTACTGCCGGCGCTGGCGCCGTTAGCAGTACGACCTGTGCGAATACCGCTTCTAAGCGTCAGGGGTGCGGCTCGCGTAGTGGTGGTTGCAATAGTTCCAGTGCTTCCATGTCTGAGACCAGGAACTCCACTATGGCCCTTATGCCCCCTCCTAACTCTTCGCAGGTACTGTATGATAAGTCAGGTCAAGTCGATCAGCTCGAAGCAACACAAACTTTCCAAAGAAAACTATTTATGTCACAGATGTCCCAATTTTGACTCACATATCTAAGTTTTTTTGAATTAAATGCCCTTCAAAAGAAGAAGATTGATATAACATACTTACGTGTTTTTATTATTAGTAGAGTATTAATTATACAAGATCGTTAGACATTTATAGCAGGGACACGCTTGTGAAAAGTAGAAAAGTTTTTCTATTTTTTTTTTTTTACGAGGATAAGCACATTTTGACCACTCGCTACTGGTCATTCAAAAGAGAAAAAAAATGTAAATTGAGTATAATGAGAGCATTCCGACTTAAAATTCACTGTACTACTTGACAAGGCAGTGAATATGCAGCTTGTCAAACTTTGTTTTTTTTTATATAAAATACCCAAGAGCTCAACAACAAACAATCGAAACACAAAGTTACGTTAAATGGATATTCTTCTTTTAAAAGGGTGTCTGCGAAAGTTTGGGAAATCTCTAACCAAACCAAAATTTGTGAATTGACCTAAACATACCTTAGTCCAAAAGTTGATAGTTTGCGAGATACAGGGTTTCAAAGTTTTTATTTTCTATTTTTCCTTATTGCTTGAGAAGTATTTCAAATTTAGGCATGAAACTCGGTATAGGAAGGTCTTCTGGTATGAGAAACAAGAATCCGTTATTTTTTATGTCCAAGCCTCTAGAGGGCGCCACTTACAGCACTATTTCTGTAAATAATATATAATATATAACTTATCAAAACTTTTTTGTGCTACCCTGTATACAACAAATCGAAAAATCTCATTTTCTCGTATTTCCACAACAAAAGAAAAAGGTTTACTTGTTAGAAGTGTCTAAAGCTAATAGTTTTCGAGATATTTGTTTTTAAAAGTTCCAATGCATTATTTGTACCATGATCATAAAACATTTTTATAACATGATAATCAAGTTGCTTTGGATAATTTCTGAGTAGCGCTGCTATGTTTTGTGTTTGTTATTGCTTTAAACTTCATGAATAATTTTAAGTTGTTAAACATCATGGAGTATACGTTTGATGAATATTCTGATACGCATTTAATGTCATTTTTGTAGTTATTATTTCCGTTTATTAGTTTTGTTGCCATCCTCATTTGTTATTGTTAAAAATCACAGCAACGCTACTCAGATATTATCCAAAGCAATTTGATTATTATGTTATAAAAATGTTTTATCATCATAGTACAAATAATGCATTGGAACTTTTAAAAACAAATAAGAATTTTTGGCCAGTTGTTGTATGCAGGGTAGCACAAAAAAGTTATGATAAGTTATTTACCGAAATAGTGCTGTGAGTGGCACGTACCCTTTAGAAGTTTGGCCATAAAAAATAACGGATTCTTGATTCTCATACTAGAAAACCTCCCCATTCCGAGTTTTATGCCAAAATCTAAAATAGTTCTCAAGCAATAAGGAAAAATGGAAAATAAAATTGTAACTTTGACCCCTGTATCTCACAAGCTATCAACTTTTCGAATCAGGTCAATTCACATATTTTGGTCTGTAATATCTCTAGTTTCGAGATATCCCAACCTCTGTATAATGAAAAGTAGAGCATTCCATTTTTAAGAAATCAACTTTGATACGTGATTCAAAATCAGGATGCCTTGTACAATTGTGAATATTTTATTAATGAGCTCCCAGATACCCTGTACGATAACCCACGAATTTTTTTAAGTGTTTAGGATCAATACTTCGTCCTCATGTAGTTGGGAAACCCTGTATACGTAGCATTTGAATAAATAGGTACACGGAAGCACTTAATGTCAGTGGTAAGTGGTATATTATGAATGCCCCTGTTTTTTTTAGGTGAAGATAGAACATATAATAAGAACCCAAAGAACTAGGTACTACGGACTTTTAAGACTTGATCTGAAAAACCTTGAAAATTGCCATCCTCAGTGCTTAAAAACTCGATTAAAAATTATTTTTGAAATCTCCGAGTGTCTAATAAAGTTGCTTGGTGTTTATTTGTATATTGTATTACCCACGCCACAGGGAGTGCAGTATTGACGATTAAGTAGCAATGCCTTAAAATAAACTAGTTCCAAAATACTGTTCGGGATCCTGTGGGGAATTTTTTAACTTCAACTTAGATTCCAGGCAGCATCAAAAATAATTTTTAAGATTTTCCACATCGCTTATGATTTAAGTACGTCAATGAAAATATGACATAAAGTTTCTGTACGCATGGGCCCGGGAATGCGGAGTTTAGATACAGGGTGATATATTTACAAAAAAGTTTGTTTTTATTATCTTTAAAAATATTTACTGGATTCCGTTGAAATTTGGCAATATTATTTGTTGTATTAATTATAATTGTTTTCCAAGGAACTTGTGATTTTTTTCAGGAAAAATTAATAAACTAATTTTGTTTTCCAATGCACTTGTGATTTTTTCAGCAAAAATTAATAATCTCATTTTGTCCACTGACATGCAATAAAACGGTTTTTATTTTTTTTTCTCGAAAACGAAGTGAGATCCGAAAAAGATACAAAAGGGAAAGAAGTTGTATTTTTTTATGCTTATTCAAGTAACAAATATTTATGTTACGAAGAAGGCAGTGCCGTACTTTTATTTGCCAATAATATTCGCTAAGGTGTCCCTGGGGCGCCACCAGATCTAATAATTTTACTCTATTTAGGGCTAAATTTGCCTCTTAATACAAAAAATAATATTGCCAAATTTCAACAGAATATTTATTAAGATATGTTTTATTTCAGACCCATGTTTATAGAAACTTTTCTCATATTTTTTAACGCGGAATCACCCTCTAAAATATCCCCGTCTATTTTTCGAATATCCTATATATTGGATCTATATTATTACAGTGTACTATATTTTTATGTATTATTTATATTATTTTGTAATTTTTTCAAATAAACATTATTATTAAAATAACAATATTTGCTTTTTTTCTTGTTTAGACATATAAGTCTCATTATAAATATGTATTCATTTACTCCAATTTCTGTTTTTATTGCAGTGTAACACTTTCATTTTAATACATACATACGCTCTATGTCCTGTGTCTTTTATTATAAATTTGGTAGAATGGTAAATCTAGCATGCTGCCAAATGCTGGAAACATGCGCTGATATAAAAAATACTGAGTTAAATATCCGAATATGGGTGAATTTCGGACAAAATTAACAAAATTGCGAACGTTCCGCTTATAGGAAACAATGAAGTACGAAAATAAGAAGAAACATTTTGGAACTCAAAAATACATGTGTTCTGAAATATTTATTATATGTGATATTATTTATAAATAATTATTTTAGGGCCATATCATCAGGTGTTTCTACAATTATAGGACGCCTTTATGATCTCCTTGATTTCCATAGTGTTTTCTCAATTTCAGAAAGGCTCAGATATTTCTTAATTTTTACTATTCCATTTCAGCGTCGGCGCTTTCCTATTGTGAGACTATGCTTTCTTTTTAAATTTTAGGAAATTTGAGACTAATATAACAGATAATATCAATCAAAAGCATGAACAATTTGATGCTAGATATTTGTAACATGACCTCAAAATAGAGCTCTGACACGGAGCACTAGAAAACTATGAAAATCAAAGACGGCCATAAAGGCGTCCTACAATTTTAGGAACGACTGACGATACGGCCCTTAAGGGACAAAAACGATGCTCGTATACTCTGATCCTTTTATTTCTCGCTGACACCATGTTAGGTTCACTATAAAGTATTCAAATCCCGTTTACACTGCGTCAAAACAAACATGAGCACTAGATCGCCGCCTCTGATTGCTTGTCGCTGCCATGCCCAGGCATTTATGACCGGCTGCCCAATACGGGCATACGAATTTGAATAACGCGCGCTTGTGTTTGTTGCGTAAATGGAATTTGAATACATCATAATATCACATACTCCAACCAATATATCTTTCTTCTGTTGCAGATGAACAAGACACCAGCTTCTGCAGGTGGTCGCACCATTTGTGCAACCAGCTGCAAAGCTTCCTGTAACATGAGCCGCAATTCAACTATCGCCAATCGAAGTGTTGCTCAGCCACCTCCAAGTTACCAGAGCTTCAAAACGCCACAAAACAAAACTTCGGCCCAGATGTATTCAACTCGTAAGGTAAGAATTGGAGTCAAGGTCAAAGCTCTCCACATGCTGGTTTGATCAACTGGGTGGCCAATATACAGGGTGGCCCATCCATGTGTGGACGGAATATTACCCATAAACAAATACATTTTGGGTAAATCTATTTATAGGATGTTATACATGGCATTTGAGGGCACACTTCTAAAATATTGGAAATTTTGACCTACATATCAAAGTTGTGATTTTTCAAATAAAATGCCTCAAATTTTATTGCATATTTGGATAAACCAATTCAAAAGAAGAAAATTGATATAACATACTATGGAGTGTTGGTAACTAGCTACTGAGATGTAAGGTGTTTTGGCCAGAAAAACCGTCCACTTCGACAACCCCTCAATCCGCCATTTTGAAATTTGGAGTGAGGAATTTTGTATAAAAAAAAACTGTTATCTTATTTGTTACTTTTTCGAATTTCAATTTTTGCTCATACAGGGTGGTCAAAAATGCAAATTGTAATTTTTCTCAAAAACTTCAAATGCATCACCCTGTATATTTGTGCAAGTTTCGATCCAATTTTTTTAAGCTTTTTTTTGTATCAGGTTTGATTCAGATAAAATCGTTAGATTCTGAGTTATTAAGCTTTTAATAGATCAACACACCAAAATTATGGAAAAACATCACTTCATTAATGGAAACAAAAGACAAACAGTGGGCTAGTTCCATATTGCCACTAAGAATACAGATTTGACGTAAAAACTAATAACAATCAGGACAGTATAAATCAGCTTCAAGCGTAATAGAGAAAAACAACTATAACAACAACTATCAATACTCAGACCTTATCTATAAAAACTACTCGAAAATATCTCCACCATGTGAAATACACAGCCGTAGTCTTCGAAAAAGTAACAAATAAGATAAAAGCTGAGGTGTGTAAGTTTTTTTTATACAAAATTCAGCACTCCAAATTTCAAAATGGCGGATTGAGGGGTTATCGAAGTGGACGGTTTTTCTGGACAAAACACATTACAACTTTGATATGTATGTCAAAATTGGGACACCCTGTATAATTTCCAATATTTTAGAAATGTGCCCTCAAATGACATGTATAACATGCAATAAATAGATTTTCCCAAAATGTATTTGTTTATTAGTCATATTCCGTCCACACATGGATGGGCCACCCTAGGATGACCCTTAATAACGTGCTGCTAATATTCCATGTTATGACTTCTTATAAATAATAAATAAATTTATGAAGAAAAATGTATATGAACATATTTTAGCAGTGTTTCAAGTTGTGAATTTAAAAAAAATCCTTTTTATTTTTGATTTTTGTACCTGCTTCATTAATACTTTTAATTTCAGCACATTATAAAGGGATGTAAAATAATGTATTTTAGTATAAAAAGTTCTTCTATTAACCCTCCAGTGGCGTCCCTTCAAACATGCCTTGTGCTATCTTATGCACACTTTTAAATGTGAATATCTTCTGGTTAGCAGCTATTAGTTTGTTGTTTGTCGTTTTGATAAAAAAATGATGCATCTGAACAGAAATAAGTAAGACAGAGACTTTGTGTAGCAATGATTGAGAATATTCACTTTGTGAAGCAATTTTTTTCTTTATATGCAAGACTAGGACGCCACTGGTGGTGCTATGGAATAACTATGAAACATGTGATCGTCAATGTGTATATTATATCATTCTAAAAATAATATCTAAAGTGCTTTCGTTGATTTGAAATGAAAGCTTTTTCTTACAAATTGTTAAACATTTTAGACGTGGCGGACATATGTTCATATAGACTTTTCTTCAAGAAATTATTTGAAGAATCTTATTATACTATCAACACATCATTAAATACCCTGTGTATCTGACTGATTTGTTTATCCAATATCCTAGATCCATTTTTCTTGTTCTGTTATGGAAAACTGGGAGTTATATACGAAAAGTGATATATAAATGAGTGCCTCTAGAAGACGCGTTGTTTATGACTGTTGATAAGTATAGAATGTTATACCAGTCACTTGGAAGGGTCCACTGGAAAAAAATGTTAAAATCTCGTACGCCACTGGCAATGAAGAGTTGTAATCGCGATTTTTTTAAATGGATTTCCCATATTTTATTGCACATTCAGATAGACCCTTCTAAAAGAAGATTGATGTTATGTTGATTTGTTCTTATAAACAATTCCTTGTTCAAAAACGTCAACAATTGAAAGATGGGGACTTTATATTTGGGGCTTGTAAAGTGCTCATAACGAGCTTTAAAATGATTCGCCCAGCTGCGGCTTTAAAATATTATTTTTACTTCAAGATGTTGTGTCAATTTTATCATTCCGAATTTACGGAGAGACCTTTCTTAAAAGCACTGTATCCAGAATGTATTTATTCAACATTCTAGCTACACAAACGTTCTAAGCATTGCATAAGTCAAATATGAGACGTGGCCAAAATGAAAAATGTTGCACCACCTAAACGTTCTTTGGCGACGCCCTGAATTACCAGAACGACGGAAAACACCAAAATACGGAGTTTCGTATTTTTTAAATTATATGAAGGTCACGGATTGGTGGACATACGACATGTGCGTGTCATGTTCCATCCAATAAAACCTCAATTTGGAAGTTTTTCTCGACTAAGACTTCCTTATACCGGCAGGGGCGCAGGAAGGGCCATAGCCCCGCCTGAAATTTTTCATATTCAGCATGTTTTTCTGAACAATTTTGAGAATGAGTAAGGTGGAGGTTATCAATGCTTGGGGATGCACCCCCCTCCCTCTCCACCGATAAAATTTGCTACCCTCCCCCAACCCCGGTTTTCAAAAAGTCTTGGTGGCAGCTGCACCTCACTGAGAAAAATTGCTTGTCCCAGTTTATGTTATGTTCACAACAGCGTGAAAATCTCAGCTTCCACGATTCTCATACTTTTAAATTCTATAGACTTCCTAAAATTGAATCCCCTTTCAGGCCCGGTGAAATAAGGTTTGAAGTGGATGTCTCCTGAAGTAAATGAGATTTCTATTTTAACCTCTTCACTGCGTACGTCGCCATATGTAACAACAATATCAACATGCTGATAAGAGATGAAAATTCCTTGAGTGCAATATTAAAATTCGCACGCCTTGAATGTCCAGTCTCAAGATCTTTTTTTTGTCTGTAAAAATTGGCACTAAGAAATTTATATTGGCAATCAAGATAAAGAGGACTCAACTCAAGCTTTATAAGGATGTGTTACGACACGCTGTTTTATTTATTTATTTATTTATTTATTTATTTATTTATTGCTTTTATTGCCCAACAGATAATATTCCATGTATAGGCCAAAATCTTAAATTAGAAATATTACAAAAGCCTAACTTATAAAACTATCTAAGGCGCTCTCGCAAAACACATTTCCGCTCCGAAATAGAACATAGAATATGTCACAAAACTTACAAATACTATTATACGAGTAATTCAAACACATAACCCGTTCAGGTAAGATTTCAAAATCAAATGTGTGTTAGCACGACTGCAAAAGAAAGTAACATTACATCTTGAAACGGATCTTGGCGTTAAAAACTGTAATTGTGATATCAATTCCGAAGAAACTGTAGCTCCTTGCAAGAGTTTAAACAAAAAAATAACAGAACTGTGCTTCCTTCTCACATTCAAAGACGTCATTTTAAGTCTGTCTAACAGAATTTGATAGCCCAAGGGTAGACTCTATCACACTTAAAAGCTAGATATTTAAGAAACTTTTTTTGAATATATACTAAGTGACATATAAATCCGAACACCCAGTTTAAATGGTTTTATTTTAATAAAAGTTGGTGAATGTATTTATCTTACTGTAAATAACAAGTGAAAAAATTTTCAGCCTTATCAGTTGGACATTCCGGTTTTTATACTGCTTTTTTTTAATTCACTAACGCTCTAAAAATGAATATTTCAGCCGCAGTAAAGAATCAACGTTGGCGGATTTTGGTTCTTGACATCCTTTACGATCGGTTACGATGCCTAGAGTACGGAGACCTGTACGATTTCGTCAACTTAGTGAGTTTGATAGGGGCCGTATAGTGGGACTTCGGGAAGCTGGACTTTCTTTTCGGGCAATTGCAGTTAGAGTGCAAAGAAGTGTAGACATACCAGGTCCATTGCAAATGAATGGTTTGCAGAACACGGAAGACCTATTGCATGCGAAGTGTTTACCGACGAATGAGAAGTTTTGGCTTGTTTTCATACCGGCCACACTGGGTCCTCCCTTTAACTCGAGAACACCGACGTAATCGCCTTGAGTGGTGCAGACAACGGTCACTCTGGGATCAGGAATGGAACAGTATTGTCTTTAGTAACGAGTCTCGATTTTGTTTAGGCATGCACGATGGTCGTGCCAGGGTTAGAAGGCGACGTGGTGAAAGGAGGAATCCACAGTTTTTTGTTGAAAGACATGTTCATCACACTGTTTGAGTTATGGTTTGGGGTGCTATAGCTTATGGTTCCAGGTCACCTTTAATCTTCATCAGAGGTAACATGAACGCGCAGCGTTATATCCACGAAGTTCTAGAACCCCATCTTTTACCCTATCTTGACACCCTGGCAGATCCAACTTTCCAACAAGATAATGCCCGCCCACATGTTGCAAGAGTCACAATAGACTTCTTTCAACATAATGATGTCACATTGTTACCATGGTTACCAAGATCTCCCGACTTATCCCCAATTGAGCACGTGTGGGATATGATGGGTAGGAGATTGCTCAATTTGCAACGTCCTCCTCAGACTCTAGAAGCACTTCGAGAGGAGTTGGTGGCTGCCTGGAATGAGATACCACAGGAGGACATTGACCACATGATCAGAAGCATGCCTAGGCGCGTTGGAGAATGCGTAGCACATCAGGGTGCATCCACACATTATTAAAGGTCAAAGGGCTTTAAAGCAGTGCAATCATTTTGAAATTTTGATCATTTACTTATTATGCTTCATTAAGTACTTATACAAAATTTTATTAAAATAAAACCATTTAAACTGGGTGTTCGGATTTATATGTCACTTAGTATAATCTATCCTATTTATACAGGGTGTCCCGAAAAAAGTGTGCAATATTCTACCAGCGGTTTCTAGAGCTTAAAATAGGAAGAAAAGTTTATATAAACATAGGTCGACAAACGTCCCCTAAGGGCGCTATGGTCTTTTAAAGGGGCTCCCCTGAAGATGGTTTTTCCTTAATATTTCCGAAACGTGTTGAGATAAAGACATAAAATTTGGTATTCTAGCCTAGTTTTTTGTGTTGGATTCAAAAATATTAACAATTTTAGACAGTTTTGTTTGGAAGCGTATTTAACAGGGACGGGAAATTTTTGTGTGATTCTATTTTTAAAATTCAATTTTAGAATTTGAAAATTTAGGGTTTTCTACATCAAAAGGTACTCTTATTGAATATCGATAAATGGTGCCATTTTTGAATAAAATCAAACTAAAAAATTTGCCACATGATAGATGACTGACAATCATAGGCGAAAACGCGGTGCTCCACCGTCCAAGGCTCCATAACGACAACTGGTAAAATAATGCTAGGATCTCACGAGTCAAACGGCACCCTCCCCACCTCTCTCGTAGACGGAGGCGGAGAATACTACCCATCCCAAAAATATCCGTCCTCTCTGCCGCACCCTGTATTATGATGATGTAATAATAATTTTGTATCACATGCAATCTCTTTAGTTTGCCTGGGACTTACCGCTTAGTTAAACCTTTTTATCAAATTTATTCCTTTCTGCAGAATCATGGCCACCTATGGAGTATCCAAGTGTCATCTTAGAGAGTCGCTGCCGTAGTCTGTGACACATTTTTTTTAATTGAACAGTGGTCAAATCCCATGTTTTGTGGTACATCTCTTAACGTGCTTTCGAAAAATATCGAAACTAACCATGTCTGTACCTATTTTTATATTAAACTTTTTTAAATTTCAACACGCCAAATGTGCCCTTGAATTTTATTATTTATTTGTTCACAGGAACAACTAAGCAGCACACTGTTGCCTGGCTACGAACCTGTTGCAACCGAACCTACTATCATTGCTGGGAATACATCGATGTCCAAACCATGCGGCCCTAATATTTCAGCATACCATTCGGTATCAAAGAGCTGCTGCCAGAAGTCGAGTTTTGTCAACGCGTAAGTATAGCTTCGCTTGAAAACTTTTCTGGCTGCTCTAATCTAAAGGTTGAAACATGTCAATAACATTCGAGCGCGAAGAAAAACTAATTTGCCACGTCTAAAAGCTATTAATTACAGAAAGCAATCTCGTGAAACTTGCAAGTTTTTTTTTTCAGCATCGATTTCTCAGAAATGCGTTATCTGCTACCACAAATCCATATCATATCGCCCTGATATTTAGCACAACCCTTAGAATATCCGTCTCTACAGAAATCAAGTTGCTATGGTTACCCAAAATACACAACGCAAAGTTTGTTAGGTAAAACCATGGAAAATTCATTGAATCTCATCAGTCTTAAGAGAATCAACTTTTCACGAGGGTGCGTCAGGATCCATTGAAAATTACAGGCCTGGGGGAAATCTCCCAACCCATCATACTCCCGAAGGGTTTGGGACAACCGTTCACGGTGTACTGGCAATTGTTGACATCCCTTAAATTAAATGACCACTAACAAAAGTTTTATTTTCTGATGTAGTCCCTGTTTGTCAGATAGGAGTTAACAAATTTAATAAATCAATGGCTTAACCCCCGCATAGTTGATGTGTTTAACAAAATACCGTGCTCTAGCTTATCAAAAGCCTTTTAAAAGTCAACATAAGCAACATCTACTTGCCCCTATTCATCAACAACTTAAGAGCAAAACTGTTTACAACATGCTAGATTAGTTAAAGTAGATCTACCGTATAGAAACCATGTTGACTTTGAATTTCGTGCTTAAGATCGGAGAAAATTATCACGGAGTTACGGACACAAACGATATCATACCCGATAGTCAATCCAGTTTTAGGAAAAACTTTAGCACAAGTACATCATTAGTTAATATCTTGGATGATATCAGACATCATCAAGAACAAAAAAAATAGTACGTGCATGGTTCTTCTCGATTTTAGTAAAGCGTTCCACACTCTGAATCTTGAAATGTTACTAGCCAAGTTACATTACCAGGGGTTTTCGCAGAGCTCCGTAAATCTAATAAAGACATACCTAAGCAACCGTTCAAACTGTGTTATGTTAGCAAATGATTCCGCTATTTACAAAACCGATTTTAAACCTATAAAAAGAGGAGTTCCTCAAGGTTCAATTTTATCTCCATTGCTATTTTCAATCTACATATCTGACATGGTCAAATCGGTAAAATTCGCAAAGATAAAACAATATATAGATGACTCACAAATATATCTCGCTGTCAATAAAAGCACAATCCATATTGCACAACAACAACTAAATTCAGATATCTATAGTATTGACAGATTTGCAAAGCATCACAATCTTAAACTAAACCCCTCAAAATCGCAAGTAATGGTTATGAATGAAAACAGTAATGAAAGAGAACATTTTGAACAGAATTTAGTAATTTCTATTAACAATGACAGAATCCCCATGGAACAAATTTAGCTTACATGCGACTAAGAAATATAAACAAATTAAAAAAACATTTATCAGCCAAACAAAAATATTATTTGTGTAATACCTTAATTTTCCACTTTTTGACTATGGAGATGTCGTCTATGGTGGTTCGCTGTCGTCGCGAACCAAAAAATGCATACAAAAAGTTCAAAATAGTTGCATCAGATTTGCGTTTGGAATTCCATATAGAAACCATATCAACTCCTTATCTGAATAACTACAACATATTAAATATGACGAAGAAAATATCACATGTATTCTTTTATCTATAGGGTTATAAAAACAGGTCAACCGCCCTATTTAAGATTTGTGCTTTTGCCTCGTGCCCAGAGGAGCAGTAATAATCTCAATTTTATCGTACCTAGGCATAGACGCGTTCCTTCCGACGATCGTTTGCTTCTGTGGCGGTTCACTTATGGAATAATTTACGAACTTCAGTTAAAAGCTCATCGTCAAAAACATTCTCAAAACTGACAAAAACGTTATTACAGAATCACCAGCTACTTTAGCAGCGTTTGTGTGAGCAAAAATATCGTTTTTACATTTCTACTCGCTGACAAGTTATATAGATTTGTTCTTCGCGTCCGTTGCCAGCTCCCGGGGGTTCTCTCTTCGTTTTTGCCTTTTTGTGTTTCACCGCCTCTTTATTGTTTTTTTTTTTATTTTGTTTAAGGATTTTTAGGGTGTTCAGGGCTTTTTTTTCACATGAACTCTTTGTATTAAAGGGTTTTATAATCGAGAGACTGTCCTTTTTCGTCATTGCTCTATATTGTAGAATTTCCTTTGTTTATGATGTTTATTCATTACGAAATAAATATTATCGAAATACCGCGACCGCTATAAAAAAATAAAGATATCTTGTTCAAGTTCAAGAATTGCAAAAGATCCATAGAACGTAAAAGCGTTTCCAGGCAGATTGCTATTTTAGAAATTCATGGTTATTTTGACTATTTAACCAACATTATAATTTTCGGAAACTAGGCCTTATTTTTTTCCACTCCAGTCATTTATTTTACATGTCAAAATTCACATTTTACATAACTATTTTCAAATTTCTTTTTTTTATATTTCCAGGACTGCAACCAGCGCTAGAAGATTGTAAGGCGTGATGAGCGATTTTTATTGGCGGTAGATTTTTTGTGCTCATATTTTTTATACTATACCAATTCAACATTCAGGTTCGTCTGACAAAAATAGTCATAATTCAAAACTTTAGAGAAATGCCACTTACATGAGACACGAGACTTTGGACATCGACTTTATTTCCAGAGAATTTTACATTTTTGTCATTTTTTATTCATGACCAAAAGTTCGAAAGCTCTATAGGTACATCATCTGGCTCATAGATTTCCAAAAGGTTAAAACGAATTAAGCCTAGATTCCATGATACCTATCTACTCCAAATTACGCATGGTTCAAATTTATTTTATATGAAAGACTGTAAATCAGAAAAATCGCTGCCTAGCGTTGTATATGGGCAGCCTGCTTCCACTTCAACTGTAAGGTTTTTTGTAATAATTTTACCTGTCGATACATCCAAAAGGTACCTGTTGAAAATTGTGTTACGTTACCATAGATACGTATTGAACGTCGAACGTAATAACGGAGTTAGACTTTGCTAAGTACCCTGTAATCTGTGAGTTCGCTTGACCCCCGCTTGACCTTCAAAGCCTTTCGATGGTAACGTAACCAAAATAACTGTGACACTATTTTGGCCAAAATTATGCTAAAAACACTAAAACTGAGATGGAATTAAACGTAAGTATTTTCGACAAGCTTTCAATGGCAACTCTATCTTAATGTCTGACCATCCCCCTCCCCATTGTCTAAGCAAATTTCTCACGGGGGGTGAGAGATTTGGGAGGGGGTCCCAATGCTTAGGGCAACATTTTGGTACTTTTTTACAGTTTGAACCTATCAGGTTTCACGCACATGCTCTGAATACCATTTAATGTCTAGAAAATGAGGAAGATCTGGCTCGCCGACCCAACAGTTTGCAGTAACATGATAACTATCAATTTCCATTGAACTCCATACCTCTGCTAATACATTCGCGGTAAACTTAAATTTTATATTTCTAAACGTCCATTAATATTGTAACGTTCACCAAATTAGACATAAAATGGTCATGAAGGAGTATCAAGATCAGCTTAGAGCAGCCATGCTGCGCTCTACTCGGTTATATGCATTTCTACCAGGAGCATTTGTAGGTAAAGTTCTATTCATATCTGAAGATGCGTTCCAATAACGAACATCGACTAAATTTTGTAAAACAGTAGAAAAATAAGTATTGCTGACGTAATCACCATCCATCCCCCATGTCATCAAAAATAAGCAAAGCGCTCTTTAGTGCTTACTTAATAATTGGATGCTCCCTTCTTTGTTGAAGGTGGTCTTATTCACTATTTTGGGATCTTGGGTTAACCAAAGAGCATAGATATATAGAGCTTTGAACTCGTAATCAGTGTTAAAAAATGGACAAGATGTCTGACTTTTGAGGAAATTTAACAGGTCTCCAAATGTTTATTTACCTTGTGAGTGATCATTTTCTAAACATAATTCGCATTTTTTCCTTTATGATCATAGTTATCACATATTTCACGAAAGCGTTTTGTTTCAATTAAATAAATTAATTTTATTTAAAATTAATCTTATTTCAATTAGACAAACGTTCGCAAAATTTTGTACTTTTTGTCTCCACTTTTTGTAATCGATTGGTCAGACAAACCTGGATTATTGAGTTATTTTTTTTAACGTGTTTTTAATAGAATAGGATAATTCGAATGTAGAATAAAAAATATAAAATTGTAACCGAAACAAAAAAAATGTAGTGTAGTCACATGTAACCTTTTATATAATCTTAACCTTAGTTTGTTTGTCACATGTAACCTTTTATATAATCTTAACCTTAGTTTGTTTGTCACATGTAACCTTTAATATAATCTTAACCTTAGTTTGTTTGTCACATGTAACCTTTTATATAATCTTAACCTTAGTGTGTGTTTTGTAGTTTAACTTGTGCACAAGTTTATTTTGATTAATAGATCTAGACTGAAGCAAAGTAACCGAGTTTCATTCCACATATCATGGATTATGTTTGTTTGTCTTAAACCTCAACAAATGTATCTTAAAACACGAATTTGAGGGCAATAGATCTGCTATCAGCCCTTATAGAGATTCGCCACTAAATTCCTACATCATTTAGTACCTATTGTGTGTTCGAATGACGTCACAGATTTCCATTCGACGAATGACGCAGATAGCTATATAATCCAGGAAAATTAAACCCAGAAGCGCATGCATAATTTGAAGTCAAAACCCTATGATGTACAAAAATCAAAACGACTGATATTTATTTGAACGATCTATTCTGGTAATATAGTCAGTTTTGCGGACGACATACTGTATAAAAGTAAGGCTTGGAAATTATATCCATTGTCATCACTATCCAATCATCTACCTAGTTATAATCACCGTCTCATTCAGATAAATTTTAAAGATCTAAAGATCAATAGGGCCAAAATATTTAGGAATTTATCTAGATCCCTTGTTTGAGACGGGATATACATATTTTACAGGGCCGAAACACCCTGTATATTAAAGATAATCAGATGCAAAGCTTATAAAATACAATTTCTAAGTGGCACCTTAACGGAATATTATCTATGGATAATATATCAAGCTTTAGTCGAACCACACGTAACATACGGTATAGTGGTATGGGGTGCTGCATGCTCGGTTATATACATATACAGGGTGTTCCCTAATGATATGCGAATATTTAAGGGTGTGAATGTACATGTAAAATTAATGTTAGTTTGCCTTATAAACTGTGGTCCAAAAATGTTTCATCACAAAAACTTTTTTTTTATACTTCAACTACCACGAAGGCCTAAGCACCCATTGGGTACCGTGGGGCTATAGGGGGATACATGGGAAAGGGGGAACGCCACCCGGACTCTGGCGAGGGAACACGTGTGCATGCAACATGCACACATTCTGGCTCCGCCTACGAGATCCGCCGGGTGGTACTTCCGCGTTCGACAGTCAGAGACCGTCTACCACCTACGGACAATCACAACATCCATAGCCAAGAGAAAAATGTCTCCTGGGACCGGACTCGAACCCGCACAGCGCACGGCGACTGATCAGGAGACCGAAGAGTCTACTACTGCGGCCACCGCTGCTGCCTGAAGCGGTGGAACGCCTTGAACGAGGAATTCAAAAATAATTTTTATTTGGCAAAAAACCATTGGCGTTTTAAGAAAAAAATATCGAAGTAAATACCCGTACGCACGCCACTGTTAAAGCTAAAAATTATTTTTGCATTGAAAAATATGCAACTTTATTAACTTTCACTACGTACGAAATATCAGTAAAATATCTGAAGCGGTTCTGAAAATAATTGATTTCAATTTTTTTCCTAAAACTCCAACACCCCCGAATTTTTGTAAGGAAACATTTTTGGACCATAGTTTATGAAGCAAACTAACATTAATTTTTCATGTAGATTCACACCCTTAAATATTCGCATATCATTAAGGAACACCCTGTATGCACGTCCAAACACCAACCTTTTAAGACAATTTTTTAGAGACATATTTGTTCCCCTAGCCCAGCCCTGGATCAAAGAATTCACGTTTCACATCACTGATGCACTGATGAATGCAAAAGTCAACTTAAAAATAATTGGTGCATATTATCTAAAAATCTCATTTCCTGCACTATTAGCTGTTTCCCTGATTTTTGCAATCGTGAGATGAACAAGCGTAGCGAAGGCAAAGCCCAGCGCGTAGGCGTCGTGGCCTGGCTAGAGATGTGCGTATCCCGAAGAATATCGATAGTCGATTATTCGAGGGTAGTCTGAAGAGTTTCCGACCTAACAAAGGTACAAGGCTTTTTTTTATTTTTCAACTTAGTTTCCTTGTAACCCTACACACTTTGCCTAGAGATGCTCCCATCTCTGTAACCCTTCAAAATAGTACTCGGCGTTTTTCTCTTCAAAATAATTATTCACGAAGGTGAGATTGCATCTTCAATTGACGAAAATCTGTCCTCCGAGCGCAATTTTTAGATGAGGGAACAAAAAGAAGTCGCTTGGAGCTATATCTGGTGAGTAAGGCGGATGGTCAAGCAGTTCAAACCGTGATTTGTGGATTTTCGCCATAGCAACCGCTGAGGTGTGAACGGTACGTTGTCTTGGTGAAACAGGATTTCAAATATGGCCGTTTTTCCGCAAGCTCTGCCTTCAGCTTGTCAAGTAATGATGCGCAGTATGTTCCTATAATGGTTTTGAAGATAATCGAATAAAATAAACCCATGACTATCCCAAAAAACAGTCCTTATCACTTTCCCAGTCGAAAAAACAGTTTTTGCTTTTTTTGAGCCGGTTCCCCTTTTAGTCCACTGTTTGGACTGTATTTTTGTTTTGGGCGTATAATGGTGTGTCCAAGATTCATCTACATTAATTCATCGGCGCCAAAACTCGGGTTTATTGCGCCTAAGCTGCGCCAACAGGCAGCAGCGGTGGCCCCAGTAGTAGACTCTTCGGTCTCCTGATCAGTCGCCGTGCGCTGTGCGGGTTCGAGTCCCGTCCCAGGAGAAATTTTTCTCTTAGCTATGGAAGTTGTGATTGTCCGTAGATGGTAGACGGTCTCTGACTGTCGAGCGCGGAGGTACCACCCGGCGGATCTCGTAGGCGGAGCCAAAATGTGTGTATGTTGCATGCACACGTGTTCCCTCGCCAGAGTCCGTGTGGCGTTCCCCCTTTCCCATGTATCCCCCTATAGCCCCACGGTACCCAATGGGTGCTTAGGCCTTAGGCCTTCGTGGTAGTTGGAGTATAAAAAAATGTTCATTCGAACACGTTATTGGTCCAAATATTGATTTAATATGTGACAAACACGTTCTTTTGACATGTTCATAAATTTTGCTATCTCTCTACTTTAATTCGGTGGTCGTGTTGAACTTTGGCGATGTTTTCGTCAGTAGTTGCAGTTTTTGGAGGTTCATCGTCTCCCAAGCTCTTACGGTCACGTTTAAATTCAGCTGCCCAAAATTTTACTACGGTAAATATGGTGCAGAGTTCCTATACGCAGAATCCAACTCATCCTTGATTTGCGTAGGCGTATTGCCTTTCAAAAACAAATATTTAGTGACAGCCCGATAGTCGATTTTGTCCATTTTCACCAAAACGCTTACATCAACTCACTCGAACGACTGTTACATAACAACTGCGCGTCCAAAATGTCTGAACCTTTGGTAAGTAACTGTCAGCAGATGAACAACGAAATTCACTAGCTTTTATTGATGAGTGCTGCCGTCTTCACGTTGAGTGAATATTAGGCCAACTAAAAATTTCCTTTCAATACCTTGGTGTTTTTACTTCTTACTCCAATAGGCAAGAAGGGACGCCCCAGACCTCTCCTGAATACGATTTAATTCAATTTGAAAATATGTACCTCTTAGAAAAGGGATCAAATACGAGGAGGATTGTAAGATACTGCACAGGACGCTTGAATTTTTTAGGCTGGAGTTTACAACGCTGACTTGGCTGTTTGATTGGATAATCTACTTTGGTCAAAACCGGCTTCACTGGTTTGTGTTCCTCGATATTTTTAAGAAATTTCTCATGCACCTGATCCAGTCTCCTGAATACGTCTTTTTTATTTCTGCATGAGATAGTTAGTCGAAAATGTTATTTGATTAGGGCAAAGAAGTACTTTTCTCCGCGAAACCACTCTGTACATGGCACAAGCCTCGAGTACTGCTCGCATGTTTAGGGTTCTACCGCCTCGACTATATACATTGTCCAAACTCGATGATGATCAGAGGAGGGCAGTTCGAATGATCAATGAAACTTTTTTTATATCTAAGCAGCCGCGCAGGCAGAAGCCTAAATGCTGGAACACCGCGGCTGCTATGATGATCCCAAAGAAATTTTGTTAATACGATTTGTGAACTGCCTAAGGTGAGTAGAACTGGGCAAAGCTTGTAGATTGTTCTACAATCTCGACACCCTCGGGACAAAGGAGCGGTCGTATCGGCCAGTTCCGGATGTACGAAGTTCGACACGATCAGGATGGGACGCCAAAGTTAGGCGGGTCTGTCTGGCAGGAACATCGCGCGGCGGCATCATGGAAGAGAGCTCTGAGGAGCAAAGCTAAGCGGCACGGATAACGAATTTAGTACCGATGCTTCAAAAGTCAAAATGGCAGATCCAGTGTGCCGGACACATATGTAAAGAATGTTTTAATTGCACTCAATTTCCAGTTTTATATGTTCACACGGTATATTGTCAAGTATTGTATAATTTCGCATAATTACAGGAAAATATTACATATTGTGATCGTTTCGTGTATTATACATACATTCGACTCCAGAATCCAATTTGTCACATCTCAATACAGCTGGGTGTTTTGAGGCGTGGTATTATTCGATTATACACCTTTTGTTTCTTGCCATTTACACATTTGACGCGAGAGACACTCATTTCTTTATAATTCCGCATGCAGAGCAATTATCAAAAGATGAGTTATGCCACCTTATAGTTCGTTTCGCGGTTTTTGGTGGTTACGTCAAAATACCATACGAAATGAGTAAGCACACTGCGCAGTCCAATCCGTAACGCTGCTGCTACTCGCTGTTGCACATTAACACATGAATTGTGTGATGGAGTGCCGTTGTTTTCACTCATTTTCTAAAAATGCTCCTCAATACTGACTGTCGATATTTTAGTTGTATCTTAAGGCACGGCTCTGTTTTGCAAGTTGCAATGCAAGTTGTCATATCGACAGTGACAAACATAAATGTGGACGTGCAACAAACAAACCGTGAAAAGACCTATATAGGTGATCACAAAATTTGGAGTCGAACGCAAAAAAATTTGTTTGGCTTTTGGGCAGATGTGTTCGTTCTGAAACCACTGTGACGTCTGTCACAGCTGCCATAATAGTTGACCACAGCTTCAAAGATGATCTTATAAGGAGATACGTCACCAAAACAAACTGGTGGATTGAACCGCGTTTCAGAATTTTACCTCGTTATTAGCGATAGAAAAGAGCTAAATCGCCGACGGGCCGCCGGTGCGAAAGAGTCCGGAGACTGTCTGTTAGAGAAGAGTCATCGATCAGTCGGACCGCCTTCCTCTGGACAGCATTGATCATGAATAATGTAGTCGGGGCGACAGAACCCCAAACGTGTGAGCGATACTCGAGGCTAGGCCTTATCTGGGCCTTATATAGAGTGAGAAGGTCATTCGGAGAAAAGTACTTCTGAACCCTAAACAAATAGCCTAGCTTATTCCCAGCAGCTGTAGTTATTGACGAGATATGTTCGTGCCAGATCAGGTTCTCGGTGATCTGGACTCCGACCAGCCGAAATGAATGGCTCTTTGGCAGAACTTGGCCGTTCATCGAAACCGGATGAGCGCTAGGACGCTTTTTGTTCGTCAAAGTACAGTACTGTGTTTTGGAAGCATTGAACTGTACAATATTGTTGCGTTCCCAAGCAGTGATAGCCTCTAGGTCTCTTGTCAGAGAGAAAGTCATCGCTAGTCTTCTTTTTTCTAGCTCAGCGGCAGCGATAAGCTTGTCACTCTGGATTCCTGCATGTAGAGTGCTGTCATTAGCGAAGCTGTGGATTTTGTTGATCGTGCAGGAAAGGAGGTCGTTGATATGTAAGAGAAACAGTGTTGGAGCCAATACCGATCCCTGGGGAACACCCGCGTTATGGGATGAAGAGGAGAACCCATCAATTACGATGGATATCTTGCGGCCAGAGATTAAGTCAGCCACCCATCTGCAAAGCTTTTCTGAGAGGCCATAGGATGGAAGTTTGCTTAAGAGGGCAGCGTGCCACAGCTGATAGAACGCTTTCGTGATGTCAAGAGCAAGGGCATGAGCCTCATCATAAGACTGGATGAGTTTACTCCACAATTGCGTGAAGTAAGCTAGGAGGTCCCCTGTCCGCTTTGGCCTTTGAGTCGAATACAATAGTTCCATCCTGACACGTAAGTGGTGGTTACTTCTCCAGTCTCGGGACCCTTTCGTACCTTTCTGCGCATGTCAACGGAATTTGCTCATCAGAACTCTCCTTCATGATGCCGCCGCCCGTTGAGCGTGACCTGCCAGGGTTCTGCCTCCCATCCTTACTCTGTCCAACTTCGGAAATCCAGAACTGGTCGGTACGACAGCTGCTTCGTTCCTATAATACCAAGATTGTGGAGCAGTCTACCTGACGTTTTCCGACTTCTGCTAACCTTAGGCAGTTCAAAAATCGAAATAATAAGACGTCTTTAAGTTTCTTACAGCGGTCGCGGTGCCCTAGTATTTAAGTTTCTGCCTACGCGACTGCCACAGTATAAAAAACGGTGTCAAGTACGTTGACTCTTCCACGCAACGCTGTCATCAGTTTATAAGGGATTAAGTTCAGCACCAGATAAACCCGCTGAGAGAAAAATTAGTCACGAACATACACAATAGCAAAATTAAACCAATCAAATCAGTCAAACAGGTCCATACAATTAGTCGACAGACGTTGTTTTCCTATCCTACCAGTAGTTACCGTCCATCTGGCATCGTCCAACCAGGCAGCGCCCTCCGAAGCACTGCCCCAGTACGAACAAAACAATAAAACAGATCGTTACGCCCGGCGCTGAGCTCATATAGCAGAACGAGATGCATACCGAAAACATTTCTCTTTCATTTTGTTCTAACCACCAATGGATGGGAAACCAATAATGTGAGAAATATAGCTAATATGTAGTAGAATTACCGGGGCTGGGAGGGAGAATTCTGCAACGGATCCCCGATAGTTTTGAAACTAAAACTTCAGTTCTCCTCTCATCTTTGATTTGTACGTTAGGAAAAGTTGCTTCGACTTTCCCTCAGCTAGTGGCTGTTAATAAGTGGTTGTGTTGGTGAATTTGTTCCAAGTTTGTGTTCGCTCCAGTAAGCACTTTCAGTTTACTTCACAAGGGCTTTTCCCTTCTTTTATTTTAGCCTTTCTGGTTAAGATTAATAATGCTAATTAAACTTAAAATATTGTAAATTGAGTTGTTGATGTTACCCTTAACTTTAATTGTAAATCGCTCTTCCGGTGATCTTTTCGCCAGCCTATTCGTTCTACAAAGTTTGCCATCGTTACTTCCGGTTTTCTTGAGTTCTTATATATTGATATTAATTTGAATTGAAAATCTATTGTCAATAAAAATTCAGTCTCCTCTAACTTGACTTTCATTAACTGAAGTTAACTGAATTTGGCGGTTCCGAAAGTATTCAGTCGAGCGTTTACTACGTTCTCTTAAATTACTTGAAGAACAGAAAGGCAACCTTCCGCGCAAAGTGAGTGTTTCAATGAAGCTACAGATAAGACAGGAAATGAGTGACATGGTTTTTTGTGTACATGTTATAGTAAAGCCTCATTTTCACGGTTACAATACTTCTTCACCCAGTGGCGTAGGAACTAAAAGGTGACTACATTCTGTTACTGCCTGTATCAGTCGACTTTTATTGTGGAGATATGGATATCATTGATATTTTACCATGTACATATCCATTCAGTCCTGATTTATGGAAGGGAAGCACTGGTAGCGTCATGCTAGCTACACATTATTTTTGTGAAGGGTTTTCCATTAAGGACTTGACAACTTTTTTTTTAATAAAACGCAAACCATTTGAGATATCTCGATTATCTTTGTGGATGGAGTGGTGTTACTTGAAGCACCTGGCCAATAACGCATATTCTGTTTGTTGACGGACCCGTTTAGCCAAAAATGCGCCTCATCACTGAAGATGATTTTGCGATGAAATCGGTCATTTTCTTGCAACATTTCTAGAGCCCACAGCACTTCGACCAACCGGTTGTCTCAATGGCACGGGAACATCCTGCAGCGAATATGTGGACTCAAATATGAATTGCTTGTCTGCTGCTCTTAACAAACTCGGAATTTCGGTAGTAAATTCTAATTATTTGTAAGTGTTGTTCGTGTACTTCACCATGATGAAAATGTTTTCTTTACTGAATGTTTTGACATTGTCAGTTCGGTAATTGACCTAACACAGTGGAAGTTCAAAGTTGTCAAGTCCCTTTTGGAAAACCCGATAATATAAAAAGGGCTGTTAAAACAACCACTAAAAGGGCATGCTAGCAGCAAAGACTTATTCATAAAAATCTAACCTTGCCATCTGTGTATACATATACCAAGTCCATAATAAAACACGCGTGAGTAAGCTTAGTACTATAAAGAATCATTCCTCCTTTACAAGGAAAAAGTGGTACTGAGATACCATCGCACTAATTGATGAGGGCGGAGGATATTCCTTAGATACATTGCTTTTAAACTTTCAACCACTGAACATTTTTAAAAAAATAATAACTCAAATTTTACTGGAAAAATGTTCTGCTCTATATTGAAGAATTTTTGGTTATTGTGATTGTTCAATTGTTTTTTATTATTTTTGTTTTATTGTAAGCTGTTTATCATTTTTTATTCTTGATTGATTTTCTGCTTATCCTTTATTTCGTCATTTAGCAAAGGGTCGATTTCGAGCATTTATTATAGCTGGCTTGGATTGATTAAAGCCATATTTCTAAGAAATACGTGAAAGTTAGCAAAATCATCACCAATTTTCATTACTTCATTTTTGTTAGCTTTTTGGGTTCTACATTCTAGACTATTACGCATAAAGTCATGCTACAGATAGGAACGTGTGCGTAAAGAGGGCTAAAATGTATCCTCGGCGAGAATATCGATATATCGACTATCGAAATCATCACTATAGCTGTTCAACCCATCTTTATTGTTTTCACACGAATTCTCAGTTCATGAAACTTGGCGAAGGCAGGAGGATGTTACGTTTGTGTTTTTGAGGTTAATCAATTCATTGATTTTTAATTTGCAGACTATGGCTCCTGTCCATATGTTCCACATACCGGTCATATGTTTACTAATTTTGGTTGAATCCATCGAGTGTCAATTAAAAAAGTTTCCTTTGCTGATGCCAAATGTGTACCCAGACAGGGTGAGTATTCGAACCCCTTTTTGAATAAGTACCCGCTCAAAAACATGAATAAATGCCTGTGATATTCTGCTGAAATATAAAATTAATATTCTTCCTATTTGTCTGTCATGACAATGAATAACAGATGTGTTTTCACATCAATTTCTATCTAAAATCTATACCTATCCCTTCAAACAATTTGCTATACCCAATTTGTTTACATTGTCATTAGAGTCAGATGAATGAGTTCCTACAATAGTTTTTTATCAGTTCACAAACAAAATCAAAGAGTCAAACATAAAATACATAGAATAAAGAAATTGCAGTTTGAGCCCATTCTAGAGCTGTTATTATTGAGTGTATTCAGCTGATGTAAAGCAGTCCAGTGGTGCAGCGCTTTTATGCTAAATAATAGCAGCTATGAGACATGGGATGACACTGTCACTTTAACAGTGGAAGACACAAGAGGATGACAGTGTCATGTAACAAAATCATTGGGACTTTTTACTTTATTGACATTTTAAGTATTTAATTTAATTAGTTTGCTATTATTTTGTTTTTGCAACAAAGTAATCACAGAATGAAAGAATCACTCCTTATGATTAATCTAATTAAAAAAAGCAATTCAAAAAAAATATTACATGACACCTTTAAACACTACGTCTTCAATAGTTTTCACCTGGATGTCAGAGTTGGAAACTTCTATTTAGTATAAGATTGCTGGACTGCTTCACATACTTTTAAATTATTTGCAGGATGAACTGTACTTGTGTACGCCAGTCAGAGTTGTGGATGAAAAAAGTTTCTATATTGGTAGGTACCTAATCTTAATGATTCTGAATATCGAAACATGACCTGTAAGTCATGAACAATGTTTGCTGTAAGTCTCAATTGCAGGATATCATATTTATTCAGATTTTTCAAAATAGCAGTGTGTGGAGTTTTAAATAAAAGAACTAAATGTATCCATTGGTACTTTGTCATTTATATATCTGTTTTTAGATGCATAATATGAGTGTTTCATAAAAAATAAACATGTCCATGCACTCATCTTTCCATTTGGCAAACACTATACGATCTACCTAGTATAGACTAATGATAATAACTATAATTGTCTTTGTTACTATTACCTATATAAGGCAAGATCTAGCTCAAAACTACTCTTACACCTAACCTTAGGTAGATATAGTCCACTGCAGAATTTTTAAATGAAACGTCTTAAATATACAAATAAAATAAACAAACCTATCTTTATACTACAAGCTTACTGATCCTACTTGTTAGCTTGTTTATCATATACCTAAATATTCTTTTAAGCACTACCCTAAGTTTTTTTGCTGGTAGTTTAAAAACTAAAGTAAGTGTTAGTTAAATTTAGTGATTGATTGATACATAAAACTCCTATGGAAAGAGCTTATTGAGTAGGTCTAGAGAAAGTTGAACTCTTATGTTTAAATTATGAAGGTTTGATCATAATATCTTTGAAGTCGAACTGGAATTCAAATCCTTAATTTTTCAGATATACTGTCATATAATCTGTATATAGCCCATTTATAAAGCAACATCGTCTATTTTATAAACTAAGAATCCATATTTAACGATAGAGACTACTAAAGTTTCACTTAGCCATTTTTATGAACCTATTTTTGTATAGTGTACGAATTCATGTATATGCTTTTTGAACTAAAGTACATACACCTAAAATTTTGGGTACCTTATATGCATTCAGTTTAACACTACACTGAAATACTCTTTAATCTTATTTTTGTCATTTTCTAAACACAGGAAAAGTGCTATACGTTTATTTGGATTTATTGTCAAATTACGAATTTTTGATTTATGGTATTGGTATAGATTCCAGGTTACTTTTTCTTATGAATTATTTGGGTATCATCGGCATAAATTTGTACATATGTATGATTTATATATTTATGCATATCTGAGGTGTTTATTAAAAATAAAATGTGACTGAGAATTGAGCCTTGTGGTATTCAGTTTTGCATATGATAGTCCTTTGTAGCACTAAGTCGCTCTAGATCTAACAAGACGATATCAGACATAATACTTTAGCTATACATAAACTATGATTGACTTTATTTTCTTTTTTTTTCAGTTGGCTTTGAGCCAAATGCTACAATGAATGTTGCTCATCATATACTATTGTTTGGTTGTACCACACCTGGTACCACAGATGAAGTTTGGGATTGTGGTGAAATGGCTAAATCTGGAACTGAAAAGAAGTACAAGAGGGCCAGTCCATGTGCTTCAGGGAATCACGTAAGTAGCCCTTATATTTGTCCCCATATAATTATTTGAAAAATAAATCTAAAGTTATCGTTTCATTTTTTTAGGTCCTTTATGCTTGGGCAAGGAATGCAAAAACATTAGAGTTACCAGAAGATGTTGGCTTCCAAGTGGGTAAAGGCACTAGCATACAGTATATTGTCCTGCAGATACACTACTCCAAAAAATTTGAAGGTGAAACTATATTTCATGCCATATTACATTATGGGCATTTACGCAAATCAAAAACGAACGATCAGGGTGCATGAGAGGGTTTTTTGATCATGGAAATTTATATTTAACAGGTGTTTCAAAATCGACCCTCAGCATTGGGATCTCGGAAACGGTAAGAGATACGGAGTCCATTAAATGGATAAATGGGGACAAAGCTGCATATTTAGCTAACTAACAAAGTGCCATTTAGAATGTTTCAAAATTCAAAGTACTTGCGGGAAAGACACGGAAAAAAAGAATTTTACCAAAATCTTTTTAGTTTTTCCTTACTTTCTTTGTAGTGTGACTTAAATATAAGTTACACATTAATAGTGCCATTTTTTTTTCTACAAGATGGCATGATCAGAATTTAAATATGACGCTTCATCTGTTTTTTTTTATTGGATGTTTGCATAGATGAATAGAGTTTTCAATTCTGATTCAAAAAGTATATAACGTGTCATACATTGACACTGCCAAACCTTAGTTATTATAAAAAAAAATTCGTAGGTAGGCCTTGAAATTATCAGATAGTCATTTGTTTCAAATACCAGATTTATCACAAAATCTTTTTTATTTTTTACTGATTGATAAATGAAACTCATACTTTTGATACCGGAAATGTAAAGAGAGGGAAATTTTACGTTAAAAGTATATATTTTCTGATGACCTTCACCATAATCTTCATGGGTATTTGGAGCTGTTCAGAAATTAGGGACAGGACAAAATGTATAAAAAAAATAAGACTCAAAGTAATAAAGTTGTTAGTTTTAAAAAGATTCATCTAATGGTGACATTGAATGCGACCTTGCACATCACCTTCAATCTCATTTGAAGGTCAAGAGAGTTTTCTTGAATGGAAAACCCAATTTTTGACGCCGTAAATATAAAGAGAAAGAAACTCTGTTCAATTTATGTCCATGACCTTGACTATAACAATCAAGGTCAATAGAAGATCAAATTAATTTTTAAAGGGAAACATCTTTTAATTCTTCAAATGTAAATTACTGACAGTTGTGAATTCAGGTATATCCTTGCCAATGAGCCAATGACATTTAAGGACATTTTAAAATCAGAAATCTTCAAGTAAGCTCCTTACTTTTTGCCGGAGATACAAAAAGGCGAAATATTGAAACTAATTTATTGTTGCATTAAAATATTGTATAAAAAATCTCCATTTCCAAAGTAACTATTGTATTACATCGAATATTTCATTTCTTTCTCTGAACCCAATCCTCCTTCACATTAATGCGAAATTAATGTCCGAAACTGTATACTTCCACGCGAGCGGAACCGCGGGATTAATCTAGTAATAATCTATATTATTTTGTGTCATACATTGACACTGCCAAACCTTAGTTATTATAAAAAAATTTCGTAGGTAGGCCTTGAAATTATCAGTAATCTATATTATTTTGTGTCATACATTGACACTGCCAAACCTTAGTTATTATAAAAAAAATTCGTAGGTAGGCCTTGAAATTATCAGATAGTCATTTGTTTCAGATACCAGATTTATCACAAAATCATTTTTATTTTTTACTGATTGATAAATGAAACTCATACTTTTGATACCGGAAATGTAAAGAGAGGGAAATTTTACGTTAAAAGTATATATTTTCTGATGACCTTCACCATAATCTTCATGGGTATTTGGAGCTGTTCAGAAATTAGGGACAGGACAAAATGTATAAAAAAATAAGACTCATAAAGTAATAAAGTTGTTAGTTTTAAAAAGATTCATCTAATGGTGACATTGAATGCGACCTTGCACATCACCTTCAATCTCATTTGAAGGTCAAGAGAGTTTTCTTGAATGGAAAACCCAATTTTTGACGCCGTAAATATAAAGAGAAAGAAACTCTGTTCAATTTATGTCCATAACCTTGACTATAACAATCAAGGTCAATAGAAGATCAAATTAATTTTTAAAGGGAAACATGTTTTAATTCTTCAAATGTAAATTACTGACAGTTGTGAATTCAGGTATATCCTTGCCAATGAGCCAATGATCTTTAAGGACATTTTAAAATCAGAAATCTTCAAGTAAGCTCCTTACTTTTTGCCGGAGATACAAAAAGGCGAAATATTGAAACTAATTTATTGTTGCATTAAAATATTGTATAAAAAATCTCCATTTCCAAAGTAACTATTGTATTACATCGAATATTTCATTTCTTTCTCTGAACCCAATCCTCCTTCACATTAATGCGAAATTAATGTCCGAAACTGTATACTTCCACGCGAGCGGAACCGCGGGATTAATCTAGTAATAATCTATATTATTTTGTGTCACACATTGACACTGCCAAACCTTAGTTATTATAAAAAAAATTCGTAGGTAGGCCTTGAAATTATCAGATAGTCATTTGTTTCAGATACCAGATTTATCACAAAATCATTTTTATTTTTTACTGATTGATAAATGAAACTCATACTTTTGATACCGGAAATGTAAAGAGAGGGAAATTTTACGTTAAAAGTATATATTTTCTGATGACCTTCACCATAATCTTCATGGGTATTTGGAGCTGTTCAGAAATTAGGGACAGGACAAAATGTATAAAAAAATAAGACTCATAAAGTAATAAAGTTGTTAGTTTTAAAAAGATTCATCTAATGGTGACATTGAATGCGACCTTGCACATCACCTTCAATCTCATTTGAAGGTCAAGAGAGTTTTCTTGAATGGAAAACCCAATTTTTGACGCCGTAAATATAAAGAGAAAGAAACTCTGTTCAATTTATTTCCATAACCTTGACTATAACAATCAAGGTCAATAGAAGATCAAATTAATTTTTAAAGGGAAACATCTTTTAATTCTTCAAATGTAAATTACTGACAGTTGTGAATTCAGGTATATCCTTGCCAATGAGCCAATGACCTTTAAGGACATTTTAAAATCAGAAATCTTCAAGTAAGCTCCTTACTTTTTGCCGGAGATACAAAAAGGCGAAATATTGAAACTAATTTATTGTTGCATTAAAATATTGTATAAAAAATCTCCATTTCCAAAGTAACTATTGTATTACATCGAATATTTCATTTCTTTCTCTGAACCCAATCCTCCTTCACATTAATGCGAAATTAATGTCCGAAACTGTATACTTCCACGCGAGCGGAACCGCGGGATTAATCTAGTAATAATCTATATTATTTGTCTTTTTGCAGATAATCGTAGAGATAATTCAGGAATGTATCTAGTATACACTGAGGAACCGTAAGTAAAGATGAGTCAGCATTGGTGTTCCTTGGTTTTGCTTCTTTGGCAGATTTCTTATTTTTTGTCATCATATCATATGTGAGCCCCTTTCATAACGTTCTCCTTTCTAGTAGCATTAGTTGTTTCATATATACTCACAAAAAATTAGGAGCTTAGCCATTGACAAACATATTTTTAATATTCATCTGGGAAATACAATTATTTGTATTTTTTTAAATCCACAAAGGAATTTTTGGATAAAATAAATCAAGTCAAACTACTTGACTCCACTTTAGCATACTTCTGAATGCTTCTGGCTATTAATTGTCAAAATCATTGCATGTGTCTAGTTTATTTTAGCTTAGTTTTCTTACTTTCGTCAAGTTTTCAACTACTCTAGTGCTTTAATTAATTACTAGGTGTTTCATAATTTTGTTTTACAGCCAATCAAAACTTGCCGGAGTTCTATTATTTGGAGTAGGAGGTTTGATTCCCCCTAAATCTGTAACGCATATGGAAACAGCTTGTCGTATCAATGAAATGAAAAAAATATACCCATTTGCTTATAGAACTCATACACACAGCTTAGGTATGTTTATTAATCTACCACGCAATTCATTAATACAATATATGACGAAATTTTTCAAATACCGGTCTTGGAAAAATCAATATGACATCAATTACTGAGCACTTTATTGAGAAAACAAATGATATATTCTTAAAAATGCTGTCGATTAAATTGCCGTCTAATGTAATTTGTAGATACAGTAGCGGACAAAAGTTGGGAAACATTCTTAGTAATTTTTAAAAAGTGTGGTAATTTTTTATTCTTTATTATTACAAATACAATAACACTACAAAAAGATTTAAAAAATGCTGTTTAGCTAATATTTGGTACGCCTTTAGCATTCAACACTGCCTGACATCTGCTGAAGAAGACATCAATTTTTTACAGACGTCTGTTGGGATATGTTTTACATAATAAAATAAATCGTTCCTATTTTTAAAAGTGTTTCTTGTCAGTTGTCTTTTAACATGCTTCCAGAGATGTTCTGTGGGATTTAGGTCATGTAAGAACATTAACATTTTTTAGTCTTAACCAGTCCTTTACGAAATTTGAGGGATGCTTGGGGTCATTAGCTTGCTGGAATATCCATCGAAAATGCATTTCTTCTTCAACAAAAGGAAGCATGTGTTCACTAAGAATATCACGTATTGGACGTCTCACATATGCCGTACCGTCAGATCCAAACAAGTTAAATTTGCTTTTAAATAATTCTGTTATTTTGTGTCAAATCTTTTGAGAACTCTTTTACTTTTGCCATTCTCACTGATGTTAATATTCACCGCACGCAATATCAGACTATCGCAGAACGAGTAAATACGGCAAAACTGAAATGTGTCCATGCTTTTGTCGTTACAAAAACTGTGGTATTTAAAAAACGCGTGTTTTTATTTTCAAATAATTTGAATATTGACAAGATAAACCTTGTATTAGTACGGAAGTCAAAGGTAGACTTTAATATTTATATTATCTGTTCCTCCACAATTTTAATTTAGGTATATGAAATAGTTCATAATAATCTTAATATTTGTTTCCAAACTTTTGCCCAATGTTTCATGCTGCCTCATTTTGTATGGATGTCTGAACATAGAAAAACGAACTTTATATTTTTCGAAAAATAATAAAATATATTAACCCGTGAATTTTAGGGCGTGTGGTATCTGGTTATGTGATAAGAAAAGATGAGACTGGGAAAGACCATTGGACGTTGCTAGGGAAAAGAGATCCAATGACTCCACAGATGTTCTATGAAGTATTTGACAAAAGCCCAGTAATGTACGGAGACAGAATGGTAAGTTTTGCATTTCACATTTAGATCTGTTAGAACTTACAATCTTGAATTATTTTCCTAGTTTTTAACCACCGAATAGAGCCCGACTTTTTTGGCTTCGGCTTGAGCTAATGTTTGACTTTTAACACAACCTTTAGCCGAAGCCGAATATATCTTAATTTGCCAAAAAGATACAGCGTGTTTCCAATTTTCATGGTCACCCGGTATAACCTCAGTGCCCGATGTATGTATGAGGGATAGTAACTACTGGTAGAGCAGCGAAAGAACATCTATCGTCTAATTCTATAGGCCTGTTGGACTTAGTTCGTTTAATTTCTCTGTTGTACATGATGTTCGTAACTGACTTTTTTCTCAGAGGATCGTATTGTGCTGAACTTACTCCTTTATGAACTGACTGATTTTTTTAATAAAGAGTCTTGTCTGACTGTCTTAGCTACGTTTCATAAACATAGATTCATCCGTTTAAACGTTTGGTGGTCTTTGTCCAGCAAATAACGAAATAACTTGTTTCTGGAATACACGTGAAATTATTTTGTTCCAGGCGGCCAGATGTACTATGGATAGCTCTTCAAGAGGACGAATCACAAAAGTTGGGTGAGTTTTTATATTTCTCACATGATTTTTGGCTTAATATCTACAGTCTATAGATGATCTGCGCATTTAGTTCGTTGGACTATCTCCTTTTTATTTTGATTGTCTTAAATAGAGACTCGCTAGTAAAACCAAATAATACAGAGTTACTAGTAGAAAAGCCACTCCGTCAAAAAATAGATTCTGCCTCCGAGGCTGGTGGCTGAAATGCTACCTGCCATTTGGATGCGATCACCCATTCATTACTTGCGGTTATAGTCCAGGGCGGAGTTATGTCACCCCTACTGTGGTGCATCGTGGTGAACGAGCTCCTCGTTAATCTCAGCAGTGTGGGTGTCTACGTGCAAGCCTATGCTGATGACTTAAGCATAGTAGTTAGGAGACATTTTTGAAGAACAGTCTCGGAAATTCTGCAGGGTACTTTGCGCTCTGTGGAGTCGTGGTTCAGGGAAGTCGATCTTTCTGTTAATGCTGAAAAGATCGAGCTGATCCTATTCACTAGGAGAAGAAAGAAGGCTTGTCGGGCTGGTCATGCCGACCTTCTTTGGGACTAGATTAATTCTATCCCAATCAGTGAAATATCTGGGAATTATCCTGGATTGTAAACTGAACTGGAGAGAGCATGTTGAATACAAGGTTAGCAAGGATCGCAATTCAATGTGGGCCTGTAGACGTGTTGTCGGTGTAAGGTGGGAGCTTAAACCCAAAGTGGTAACCTGGCTCTACACGACGATAGTACGTCCATCTCTCTTGTACGGCTCCCTGGTCTGGTGGCCTTGCACTAGAACTGAGACAAGTAAGGCCAAACTCAATAAAATTCAGCGTTTGGCCTGTATTAGCATTACAAACGCAGTGCCAACAACGCCATTAAGTGCAATGGAAGCTCTGTTGGATTTCCCACCGTTGGATCTGGTGATCCGCGGTGAAGCGAGAGTAAGTCGCTCATCGATTGTGGAGTCAGGGCAGCTGGGCTTTCTTGAATCCTGGGCCTAGAACTAGGCTATCTCTGGCTCTCGATGGATACACCACTATTTTCCAGGCGGAAATCTTTGCGATTCTGGCTTGTGTATCTCACATTCTGGAAGAGGGTGGGCCTAGGAGAAGAATAACTATCTTATCCGATAGCCAGGCTGTAATGAAAGCACTAAGTGTCTGTAAGATTACTTCGAGTCTTGTATTGCAATGCAGAGAGGCTCTGGATTCCCTCACAGCGAGGCATCCGGTATCGTTAATGTGGGTACCGGGGCACGCTGGGATAAGGGGTAATGAGACGGCGGACACTCTGGCGAAGACAGGATCAGCCAGCAAGCTCGTTGGTCCAGAGCCAGCTCTAGGAGTGACCGCGCATAGAGCTAGGAGGAAAATGGACACTCAGAAATTCAGAAGTATCTCCAGACATCTCCGCCAGGCACGGGAACTCATTGAAGGGCCCAGTGCTAAGGATGGACGTTTCTGCTTATCTCTGGATAGAGCCAACCTAAGCTTGCTCGTGGGACTGTAGTCTGGCCATAACACGTTAAGGCGCCACCTGCACGTGATGGGGGTGGCTGAGGATCCCTTGTGTGAACGCTGCGGGGTAGAGGAAGAGACCTCGGTGCACGTTTTGTGTCGCTGTGAAACTCTGAGCTACTATAGGCAGACTATACTGGGGTCCATTACTTTGGACCCTCAGGACGTCAAGGAGCTTGGACTCAAGATGATTCTCAACTCCGCTAAAAGGGCGAGGCTTGTTATCTAAGGAATGTAGAGGTGCATAAGGGCCCGCTTAAGTGGCCTATGCACTGGCTCCTTATGGTGGCCGGAATGCCTCTAATTTCAAGATTCATTCATTCTGTCACATGTGCTCGGAAAAACATTCTGATTAAGTTTTTTGCAAAACCGTAATAAAAAAGAAAAACTATTTTTTGGCTCAATTTCAGGTCTGACAACATGCAGATTAATTAAAAGGGGTCTTTTTGCAATGAGATTATGCAAAAAACAATCAAAATATTTTTCTAAGCAAATGCGAAGATACTTTCTGCATTATAACGGCTCAGGTAGTTGATGGTCGCCATCCAATCTCGAAAGTGGGTCGTGACAGTGCCATACCAACAGATAGAGGAAACCTTATACCTTCGTGCACCAGCAATTCATTCAATTCTGCATGACCATTTACACGTAAAGAAACGTTGTTCTCTCTGGGTACCACATAGTCTGACGGAAGAGCAGAAGACTCGTCGTACGACTTGGTACCGAAAGATGTTGAAAATGTTTGATAAGGGGCATCTTCGGTATGTTTACAGCATCGTGACAGGTGACGAGACTTGGCACTATTATTACGATGTGCCGACCAAGGCTCAAAACAAAATGTGTGCCTTTGCTGATGAGGAGACACCCGTAGCTGTCAGAATAGCCCGATCTGTTAAGAAAAAAATGTAAGCTGTATTTTTCAAATCGAGCGGAATTGTGGAGCAAGAAGACAGTCACAGCTGAGTGGTCACGGAACAGTGTCTGCTTAAAGTCATAGAGTCTATGAAAAACCTGCGGTCAAAGTCAAGAATGGACACTTGGCACCTCCACCTGAACGCGCCAAATCCTGCACTGAGTATCTGACCACTACTGTGCCGTATTCTTGACTAATAGAAGATCACACTCCCTCTCTGTTTCTAGTCCCCCGGTTTTCTATCGATTCGAAAAATCGAAAAATAGGTCTCGATAGAAAGGAGAAAGGAAATCAAGACACAGGGTTGCCAGGTTTGAGTAAACGTGTTAAACCAATCAAAATGGAGATAATTTTGACAGTCAAAAACTAACCAAAGCTTTTGGTCAAGATTTCCTGATTATAATTTTATCTATGGAGCCGAAAACTTAAAAAAGCACATTAACAATGAACAAAAGGACAAAATGATTGAATTTCTCCGAGAGCACTCCCAAATGCACCAGGGAAAATTTAATCATAGATTAAAGGGATACTGTATTAGAATTACTAAAACTTAATATCTACTCTTGCCTTTGTTTTGATCGAAAGTGCAGAAGCTCGTGGGAGTGGTTGTATGACTGAAGTCAATATCTCCAGCAATTCATACACCAATTCATGCTCAAACTAAACATCTGTACAAATTTTCGATTTGAAATTATGAAAGGATCTCAGTGCCCAAGAATATCTCTCCCAATCTCCCATTCCTCAACTACCTCCTCTACATCCTCGTTAATAATATCGTTCCAATACATCAATTGCTGGAAATTAACTGTTGTTTGCAATATGTTCAGCAGGAACGACAATAACAATGCCAAACACGTCAATTTTTAGGTTATATAGCGCTATTTTCTACTAATTTTTCCAGTTCCTCTTGGTCGGCATCAAGAGAAATCGCGACTCCTTAAAGTGAATTCATTTCTATCACTTTTCGGTGGAATTGATTTCAGGAATACTGCATTTCTTGGGCACATCCACTTATTGCTGCTTTCTCTCACAATTTCTACTCCCTCTAAGTCAAGAATAGAGGTCCTGGACTGAAACTTATTGAGCACCCTCCTTGCAGTCCAGATCTTGCTCCCTGCGACTTTGCACTATTTCCGCCTGTGAAAATGAAGCTAGCAGGACCTTCTGAGGGCTTGGGAAAACGAGTGTGCCGCATTCCCGGGTGAAACTTGGCAGAGCTGGTTTAAGGACTGGTTGTGGCGGATGGAGAAGTATCTTAAATGTGGTGGAAGTTGCTTTGAACGAAGTCAATAGAGCTGTATTGCAAAACTTTTGTAATAGCGACAAAGCTTACTTTTTTATTAAACTGATTCATTGAGTGGCCTCTTATTTTTGCAGGCCTACAAATGAGGACGAAATGTGTAACTTCTATCTGATGTACTACGTCGAAAATGACACACCACTAGAAATGAAGTACTGCTTTTCTGAGGGTCCTCCGTATTACAAGTGGAATGATGACGTCAGTAATGACCTAAATAGTATCCCGGATACCGAAGCATCACTATTGGACTAAACTGAACCACTTCTTGTCTTAAGAAGTTACAAGAATCTCCTTATATATATTTTTGTTTATACGCATATTTCACCTTGACAATAGACCAGAAAATATTTACATAATATTCAGAAAACAAAACAGTTACCTCAATTATTGTAAAGTTGTGGGATCTTACTGTCCTATTGTACATTTTAATTCAAGAACAAACGATATGAGGCCATTATTTTCCTCGATTACAATTATTTTTTGGGCTTGTTGTGTAATCACTTAACAGTGATGGGTGCTATTTAAAAGAGTTTCTAAGTCAATTAACTTCTTAAGACATCTACAAAACGACCAAAACAACCATGTCATAAAACATTCAAATATTCGCATAGTACTTAAAAAACATGTAACTTAATTTCTGCCTTACCTTCATTGCTTTATTCATACTGCAGCCCTTCTAATGTGCGAAAGAAAGATATAAATGTCATAAGTTAGGATATGTCTACTTATATTGGAAACTTGTTCTAACATATGACACTGACTATCTTCCCATACACGTTAGATGGATTGATGAAGAAGTGAACGTGGTATACGAGGGCGGCTCAATAAGTTCCCGTATTAGAAATGAAGAGACCATTTTTTCAAAAAATATTTTTTCTTATTTTTAATATAGTCCCCTTTTAGAAAGATACACTTTGCCCAACGTTCCTGGCATTTTTTTAATCCCTTCAAAAAATAGGATTTGGGCAAAATTGTTTTCCCGCGAGCCAATTCTTTATGTTAGGGAACAAGAAAAAGTTACAGGGGGCCAGATCGGGTGAATACTGGTGCGGCAGCACTTCATATCGCAATTCATATCCCATCCAAAAACAAAAACAAACGATACTGCTCTTTTTCCATCTTAGCGAAAATCACGAAACACGTGTTACTCGAATGGCAGCCAAATCCAAACTAACCTATCAATCAGTCTGAAATTTGTTGTGTCGTCGTTTGATAGATGACAGGCCTCGATTATAACACCAACTTCCCTCAGGAACGCCCTCTGTCGTCCAACACGGGTACTTATTGACAAGCCTCGTACATTCCTTGTACTTATACATTCGTAACAATGTACTTAATTTTACTATTACAACATTCCATCTTTGGCTGTCAAGCGCACTGACTTACATGTACCTCTAACAATAACCTTACTACGTACCGAACATATCAACAACATTCCATGTAATCTGTATACGATTTTTCGGATGAGAACATCCGCAACAGCGAGTATGTTTGTAATAATATTTATTTACTCCTCAATCACTTGTGTGAAAAATGTATAAATAAATATGAAGGAAGGGTCTATAGAAGGCATTGCCAGTACTTGGACTATTAATGTTGCGATTGTGCATAGAGTTAAAAAGCAAATAATGATACAACTAATCAACGAATCATTTGATGCTTACATTTATTATAAGTTTGTGTATGTCTGGCATTGCTAAAGAAAATATCAATTATTTTGATTTGTTTTGGTATTATTCCTAAAGCGTAGTTTTTTATATTGTCAGGTAAATTTACGTATTATTTTGATCCTAAATAAATGTTGTCTGTTATAGATTTTCTAGGTCTAGGTAATTTATGTCTTGTATGGTGATTATGTTTTGATTTTTTGATAGTTGCTAGTAAATTTGTGATAATTGGTGATAGCGTGTAAGAGGTAAGGTTGTTTCATGTCATATACGTGAATATCTTTGTATAACAGAGAATGAAAAAATGGGCGCTGGCGGGATTCGAACCCGCATCTCCTTCATTCCATGTATCCGACTCAAGGATCGACTGTTAGAGACAAATCCAATCCTACTCACTCCACTGTTCCTTTGTTCTCTCAAGCTGCTTGATGCCTCATCTGACGGTGTTTCACTTGAACGCCGCCAGATGAAATATCAAGTACAGGGTGGCCGATATGTAACTGAGTAGTTTGTATCTTGAATATTTGTGAAATGAAATAAAATACGACCATTTTTTTCATCTTAATATTTTATTGAAACTTAGAAATTATGTATGAAAAATAATATCAGACAAATGTGCGCCTCTACAAGCCGCGCAAACCTGAGCCCTCTTGATCACATTTTTATCACTTTTTGGTAGGTTTTGGGATGAATATTTTCAATCGCTTCCGTATTTGGTTTGTTGGCATAAACTATATTTTCCAAAAATCCCCATAAAAAAGTCAGGAGCCGTTAAATCCGGTAACCTTGGTTGATATCACCAAACGTCCTGGAAATGTTGTTTGCTGTGTGTCAAGTTGCTCCGTCCTGCTGGAACCACATGTTTTGTAGGTTAAATTGTTGGATTTGAGGAGCCAGAAAGTAGGTAAGAAAATTACCTGCAGCGTCTTCAAAGAATGACACCTCCATACCAAACACCGCACCAAACTGTGACTCGACAAGGATGTAGTAGTCGTTGATGGATGACACGAGGGTTCTTTAATGCCCAGATCCGACAATTCGGCTTATTAACAAATCCATTCACATCGAAGTGCGCTTCATCGCTCATCATCAGTTGTCGGTAAAAATCGTTATTTTCGATATTAAGCTGCAATATTGCATGACTATTGTCGGCGACTGTAATGGTCACCAGGCTGTAGTTCTTGGGTTGACTGAATTTTGTATGGCCGCAAATGCAATTGGTTTTTTAAAATAGTTCATAATGACGTGCTACGAATACCCAGTTCTTGACTGATTATTCAAGTAAAATGTTTTGACAATACGGACGCCTTGTTTAAATCAGTCAGTTATATATTGGTCACCCTGTAGGATTGAATTTGCCTCCAACAGTCGATCTTGCAAATTGGTTGGCAGCTGGCGCTGTAGGCCAATTCGTTAGGTGGGAATACTGCCGGCAGCCATTTTTCCTTGCTCTCAAGTTGTTTACTGAATTTACTCGCTGTTGCTTATGTGCTCAAAAATCGTATATAGGTGCCCAAATAGCACAAACACGTAAAAATGACGATACAAACTGGTCTTGACATGACGAGTTGAATGACGTAAAAGTAATGTGAAAACGTCAATAATAGTCACTTGCTGGACGTGAAGATGATGCCCCGTATTTATAATAAATAACCAGTTTCAGCTTCTTCAAAGAATCATATACTGTTTGTTATCAGTACTATTACACAGACGGATCAGTTTGGGCAACAAATTGCAACACTGGCTCAGTGCTGCTCGTCTAGCACGCCATGCCTACTTTTACAAGTTCACACGAGGTTTTGGATAAGAACACTGCGAATGTTGCCATTTTTGCATCCTATGGGCTGTGTAATACTACAGGTAACACTCGTGCAAGAGAATTAAAGTTACGATAGCCTGTAACTATTTTCAAAGTGCCCAATTTTTATATAGTTTTGTGAATATTTAGTACATGGAAGTTGGAGCAAAGAAACGCATGCCGTAGGCACCGAACACAAATGGCGGGAGCACGGAAGGAATAACGTTTATTGGTTGACTGTAGCGACACCCAATTGCCGACTAGCAATTGTCACTCGATACAACTTTTCCAGATTAAACGAAAAAACATTTTCAAGAATACTTAGCACATTGAATAGCTAAAATATGGTACGTGTTTTTTGTTTTGTATCTTCTATCTAAATGTATTCAACAATGTCATTTTTTATTTATTTTGCACTCGCACTTATTCTTAACACGTTCACGATGACGTGTACCAAATGTGGTACATGACTGCTGATCTCCACAGCCGTCGTGTACATGTGGTACACAGTGGCTCTTTACATTTTAATCCTATTTTGAAACACCCCGGCTGCATAAGAAGTTTGGAAAAGAAATTACGGCTGAACATAAAGGTGGTACATGACCGTGGTACATTTTCAGCTCTAAGTCCGTAAGTTATATAATTATTTTTGACTAACTACTAAATAAACTGGATTTTAGAAATATTTTCAATATAATTTTATGCAAGCAACCTTATTTTTTTACAGGGTTCAAAAAAAAACAGCTAAAACCTGACTTATAAAAACCTCTCAAAACAGAAAAAAGCCAAAACTAGAAAGAACTTCTTGAAATTAAAAAAACATGAAAATCTCAAAATTATTAGAAAACTAGGGTTCCAGAATGTTTTTAGTTAAAACAGTGGCGGTCTTAGCTTTTGCTTTTGCTTCTTTTGACCCTCTTTCTCTTTGTAATTTGTCGTGACCGGAAGTACACCGTTTTCTATTGTTTCGAGCATTACCTTCAATTTTCTTTATTTAATGACTAGATTTTTTATTTTTGATCAATATTGTTTTATATACATATGTTTTATGTTTTTTCTCTTATTTTTTATTGTTTTTGGTCATATACCATCGGTGGTACACGACCTCCCTGAACAACAAATATATGTCACAGCCATCGGGTACTACCGGTGGTACTTGAGTTAAAACAAGAAAAAAAACCTAAAACATGTGTATATAAAAAATTATTGATCACAGATACAAAAATATTCACATGTTACACAAAAAAATATTACGGCTTTGCTTTAACAACACATCCGAAATCGGCTGCGTCGCGAACGTGTTAAAATTCATTAAGTATTATGTATTAAAATGCTAGAAATATAAAAGAGAAATGTAACATCATGGTAACGCTTGGCAAGACCTTAATAATTGGTCATTTTATATGAGTTGCTTTGGGTGAACGTTGATCAGCCATGAAATGAGATGATTATTTTTACTGCCCACTGAATTCATTCGTTTGGAATCGAAAAGATTGATTATAAATTAACAAAATACGTACATATAAAAATATATACAATTATACAACATATCAGAATAACGTCCATTATGACGTGCTTGTGCTAGCTGGGTTACTGTCCTCGCACGGTGGTACCGTGGTGTAACTAAAAAGCGATTGGGGATACCTTTCCAATCCGATTTGTTTCACTGAACGCCACCAAATGGGGCACCAAGCACCTTGAAAGAACAAAGGAACAGTGGCGTGGGTAGGAGTGAATTTGCCTCTAACACTCGATCCTGAAAATTGGTTTGCAGCTGGTGTTGTAGACCAATTGGTTTGTTGGAGTGGAGGAGATGCGAATTCGAATCCTACCGGCGTCCATTTTTCCTTTCTCTCAAGTTGTTGTTTACTGAACATTCCATGGCTCTGATATTTTGTAAACTAGTGTAATAACTGATTTTTCTGTATTTCGTTATGTACTTAAACAGGTGTCATTTGCGCGGGCCGAACATAATTTTATTTTGTTGATTCAGGAAAAAATATCCATATCAGTGTAGACTGTACATCACATAAATATAATGTATATGCGTTGATAAGCTGAAATTATATATTGAAATTAAATAAACAGTATTGGAAATAGATCACATCTATTTTGACATTAAGTAGTTGATTATTTTTATTGTCAGCAGTTTAGCAAATTTTTATTATGCATATATATTTTATTGAAATATATATAAAATTATATTTTTATTTTAAATAAAGTGTGAAAATGCAACATTTTTTGGTTATTTATTTTCCCAAAAGTTCTTGCGCATCTGTGAACCCATTTTCGGAATGCAATCTGGTGCATATACAGTGCATAATGGACTCGGCGGGACTGTGGAAAATAGTCTATTATAGGCTGATGACCATCTTAAAAGAAACACTTTTTTATTGAACAAAGTATCAGATATAACATTTTAAAAGTTATATGTAATTTTGAAATTTGCATTTTTTCAGAATCTGCTACACATATTACAGGCATACGTACTGTGTAAGTATGTGTAAAAACCGTGAATTATTTGGTAAAAAAGCTAGTAATTTTCATTTGAACAGATTGTTTTTTTGTATAATTATTTAGAACAGCAAGTTGAATTTTATTTAATTTCGTAAGTGTGGTTGTACTGTCTTCTTCTTGCTGAAAATGACGTTGCAACTTTTTCACGCAGTCTTATGCCTCCTCAGTTGTCACTTGAAGCTGTTCTTCATCGTTGTTTTCTAGTTCGTTATCAACGGATCCTTCATTACCCAAATTGGAGTCTGACAATTCCTGTGCTGCTATTAAATTATTGTCAACATTTACATACTCATTAAATTTGTCTATATTCAGTAAACTATTAATTTTCAGTAAATCACTTGATGGAATTTCATCTTCTCGATTAAAATCATTGGATATTTCAGTTTTTTTTTCACTAAACCAGCATGGCGAAAACAATTACGAATCGTTTCTGAAGTAACCAATTCCCATGCAATAGTAAGCAAACTTATAGTATCTAAAATGGTGACAGCTGTTGGTAATGTTGACATCTTCTTGAAGCTCCATAATTTTAATCAAAATATGTTTCCGATACATTTGTTTAAGACTCTAAATGACACCCTGGTCCATTGGTTGCAGAACTGATGTCACATTGGGTGGAAAAAATTGAAGGTCAATGTTATTAAGTGAAATATTTGGATGAGCGGGGCAGTTATCGACCAAGAGCAAAATTTTACGATTTTTCTTAACAAGTTCATCGTCTCACTTTTTTAAATATTCTTCAAAAATTGATGAAGTCATCCAAGCTTTATTATTTCCAACATAATCAGCGAGAATTGTTTTAACATTTTGGAACACCTGGGATTCTTAAATTCCCCTGAAAAAAAAAGGTCATGAATTCTTTGCAGCACTGCCATTGAATATCAAAAAAATTAGATTCACTTGTCTATTATCAATAGTTTCCGTTTTTCAGTACCAGAAGCATTAGCACAAATCATAACAGTTATTATCTTTTTTGATAGTTTCCCTCCATTGCAAGTTTCAACTTTTAATTTATGAGTTTTATCTGGTAGCATGGAATATGTTATCATCTAAATAATCACTAGATATCACGGCCCAAACTTGAGAAATCCAGTCATCAGTAAAGTTCTTGTCAACTGAAGCTGACTCACCACACCTTTTTCCAAAAACAATGTTATGTCTTTTCTTAAACCTGTCTAGCCAACCGGAACTACATTTGAAGTAATCTCCAATCAATTGCTCAAGCTCACTCATTATTGTGAACTTTTCGTGTAAAGTGAATGCACGTTTCGCACTTTTCGACATGTTTATAACTCTAATAAATACGGTATAACACTGGTGGCAAAGTTCGAATGCAAACTGGGAAGCCAAACAGCCGTAAACGATTAATATATATAATGAATTAAAATAGTGCGCTATTAGCGAGTCTATAATATCCGAGGATTTTATATGCAATTATTTATAGGACCTTAAATAATGTCCATTATACGCGGGTTTCCATTATAACAAGTTGATTATGACGGATACCACTGTATTTTTTTAAATATTCTAGACGTATCGCTCTGATCACTGGCAATATAAATCTAAATTTTCATAACAGACGCCTACGTCAACTTATTGAGTAATCGATCGCTGCAATTTTACATGAGATACACTGTATAGTGAGATGAGGAAAACATCACGAATAAGATTAGAAAATAATTTATTTACCTATAAGTATAACATTAATAATTGTCACATAATTGATCAAAATAAAATGATCTATTTGAGATTTTTATATATCCATGGCAGGAATTTTTCGACTCTCGTGTAGACCCCTGGGTATTGACCTTTTCCACAGCCTATCCCCCATGAAACAATTCCAATTTGCGTCCACTTTCCATTTTTCACCATAAGTGGTCCGCCACTGTCTCCCTATAACCAAAGAAATAAATTTTGAAAGCTATTACATAAAAGTTTCAACGATTCAGGATCAAAAAGTTGCGTGAGGTTGAATTTCCTAGAGTTAATAACTGAATCATTTTCAACTTTAACTTATAAACTGAGTGACAAAAGGAGATAAAATCTCTTTTTGAGGCTTTTTCCAAATTCCAATTATTCAAAATTCAAATAGCATATTTAGCCCAAAGAAGTTCTTTAAAACTAATTTATTTGTCTCTGACACAGTTTTTACTAAACTAGTAATAAAGCTTTAGTTTGTCCGACCACAAACGGCCAACCATGGATAGCTGTTTTGTGCTATTTGGCAACTCTTCAGCATGGTGTAGGCTTGGTCTAGGTGGGCAACGAACTAAAGTTCAGAGTTTAATGTCTATCGAAAAAAGACAGCCATCTATTACCAGAATCGGCCACTGCTAAAGTAAAAACCACAAGCTGGTGACGCCTCTGGAACTGGCATACCGTTACAACTGGCAGCTTGCTGTTTTCACTTTCGCAGTGGTCGATTCTGGTAATAGATCGACTTTGTGGTGTCTTATTTTGACAGTTTTTATTGTCTCCTGAAAAATTCAAGTCGTGTGTTTTTGCAGCAACCGATTCAAAGTGTTGCAGTCTTGGAGAGAAGCTTGTCTACAAGTCTCGAAGGGCGAAAACACAGTGAAAGCCGGTTTCCTGCTTACCGGCAACCAGCACCGATCGGTATCGAATTTCGGCGCTGGTCATGGACACAGTGCTGACGAGAAAAAAGCAAATAAAACCGGCCTTGTCAGTTTCAGCGTAGTCATCGCGTCAACATGGGGTATAGCTCATCTGAAGATGAATTTATTGCATCGGACAGCTCTGTAACTAAAATAATCACTTGAAAGAAAGTTGGTATTCACCACATAAATCGTGAGACGGTACATCATCATTTGTTCAAGGCGTTGAAAGAAGACCCCGACCATTTAATTATATTCTAGAAAAGTTGAATACCTTATAACTAAGAATTGGTGTGACCTCCACAGTCTTAACTATCTTGTTTATATCTACATCATCCTGCTCTGACAACCGGCGACAAAAAACTAAATAATTGTTTTGGCAAAACCGTTAAGCCTGAGCCTGCCTCTATTGTGTTATTGCCAACTCAAGAGCATGCTATTATTATAGAAGGTTAAAGGCGCCGATCGGCGCTGGTTGCCGGTAAGCAGGAAACTGGCTTCCACTGTGTTTTCGTCCTAAGTCTGATTTGCGTATAATACTTACACTGCAGGAGTCTCTATTAGCCCTTCCAGCACAGATCATGTGCTCTACGATACCTCCCGGAGCTGCTGGGCCATACTTCAGTTTGCAGTCTCTATTGTTCCATATGGGAATATTCACTTCTTGTAGGACTGCTGGCTGAGGGCCACCTGGAAAAATGGGAAGAGATAGCCACTAAAACAATCGTAGCTTCCAGGATGCTCAGATTGTGCTTGCCAAGATCTTTGCTGCCAACTAGACCATGAACGCCCCCCCCCCCCTACATGTGCAGAGTTCTATCAATCTTAGGCAGTTCAAACATCGGATTAACAAAGTTTCTTTGAGCTCCTCATAGCAGCGGCTGTGCTCTGGGGCTTAGGCTTCTGCCTGTGCAGTTGCTTTGGTATAAATAAAAGAACTATCTAGTTTTCAAAAATTTAATTTTCAAGTAATATCGAGTGGATCAATAGGCGTCGAAAGTCGATCAAAATCTTCTATAAACTGATCTTGAAAGCACCTAGGATGCAGTAGAGTTAGTCTAAATGGGATCACCATCGCAAGTACTTAAACACCTTCACACATGAACTCAGTGTTGCACTGACCAAATTGAACTTCATTTTTTTTCTGGAATGATAAGAACATTGCCCAATTGATCACTGTACCATAATACCAAATACAAAGGGGATCAAAACTATGGTCAAAATTCTTTACAAGCTTTCTATAGACAGATAGGCAAAATATTTTTTTTCAATATTGTATCCAACAAGGTCATATTTTATTCATTTTGCACTCAGTTATTCTTAAAAGATGAACTCTAAATTAATAAAAACATCGTACATAAAAAATATGTGTAGTTCAGAAAACATGACATCAAAACCACGTCATCATAATGTCCTACAGTGGACGTACACAATTGGACATTTATAAGACGTCATTACGACGTCGATATTTGGAACAATCACGTCAGTTGACGAGTTATAACCAAATTCCGACGTCATTATGATATGCTTGTGCTCGCAGTCTTCAAAAACCTCAATATCGGAGATATTCACTACTTCTCCCTTGAAGTGCCTGCTATAGCTCCATCTCGTTGAATCCACAGGTTTGTATAGTTTCTTTATTTGAAAAATTTGACAGTATTATTTTGGGAGCCAGTAATGGAAACTGGACTTTTTTGTAAGTTCTCACGTAAACGTGCAGTGCATCGTCATCCAGCACTAAGAAGTTTTAATACTGTCGTTTGTTGCTGAACATTTAGAATAAATTAGCTTACTATTGGTACTAAGCATTCAAGTGACCATGATATGCAAGCTGAGGTAAAACAACAGGTCCTGGAGCTTAAAACAAAACCTCGACGATTTTGTTCGCTGCTCCATCTATCGCTTCATATTTTCCTTCTGAAATCCTAAGATAATTGAAAATAAATTTAAAAAAACGAACATGATATAAGTAACTGAAACCAAGACGGTCATTTTATGCCACCTTGCATAATACTTACTTTCTCTAAGACTGCCCCATCCAATAACAGTTCCTGTTTTACCAGCGTGATCGTTGTTTCCACTTGGCAGACATATAGGCCTTATCTGATGGGAAAACTCTACGGGACTATCGAGAGTTAGTATAGCTATATCATTATACTGAAACAGTAAATCGAATATTTTAAAAACGTAGCTTCAAACTCATATATGGATCTGTTGTAGTCAAATTGGGCGTAAATAAAAAAAAATTCTCAGGGGGGGCATGAGATAACTTTTTGTGAAAATCTATGCCCCCAACACTTTTTGAATAGCGGATGGTAGCAAAAATCCTCAAAATCTTGCTAAATATGCAAAGGGGGATCGAGCCCCCCGCCGTATACTCGTATTTTGCCTACTTGTTGATCTGACCAAAATAAAAAAATGGAGTCAAATAAAATTTCGAACTTCAACCACAGCCGTCGAATATTCCTTGATTGATCGGTTGCTCTTCATTGCAGTTTTAGAAATATCTTGTTAAAATTTTGATAGAGGAAAGTATCCCAACCCGGATCCTCATATAAAACGAACCGCCCTACATTGTCTAAAATTCTACTGTGGTCAAGTGTAAATAGTAGCTTAGGTGTCTACCACGAGCACGCAAGTAAGTTTTTTGAACTTCAAGATCGTAGGTTCGCCTTTCCCACAAAATCCTGCTCTTCGAATAGTTCTTGGGGCAGCCACAAAAAGTTGTTTCTGGTCGATAAACCCTGCTTGCGACCAGGGCCGTCAGATTTCATACTTTGCCTCAGCGGACGCAAAACCCTGCAGCCGGTCCTGCTACTAATAAACTAATAATAAGAAATGGGGTCCAAAACTATTGATGCGTTTCAGAATAAGAATGTGGGATGGAAGAAGGCAGAGAGTGGAAAACGAAGTGTACAGGGTTTGTCCGGAAAGTAATAGGAAGTTAAGTGGTAGAGTAGCCAGCTGGCTAAACTTCGCCTCGCAGTGTGGAGGGATTAATAAATACATTATTACTTATTTTCTTCCGCCATGACTGTACTTCGGAGTCAGTTGTCTCCGAGCACTTGGAGAGTCAGGACAGGCATTTTCGCGCGACGTGTTTCTGTGAGTGGTGCAAGCCAAAAATGCAGCGTTCGTTAGAGCAGAGGTACGCGATTAAATTCTGTGAAACTCGGTAAATCTGCGACAGAGACGTTTGATATGATTAAGAAGGCTTACCCAGGTGTTGCTTTAGCAAGAAGTGGTGTGTTTCTATGGCACCAGGCCTTTTTGGAGGGCCGGGAAGAGGTCGCTGATGAAGACCGTGCTGGAAGACCTTCGACTTCGACAAACACCGATAATGTGACTCGTGTGCGCAAAGTTTTGAACTCAGACCGTCTGTGGTTCATGACATTGTGACATTTGAACATGCGCAAGGTGTGCGCGAAGATGGTCCCAAAAGTGCTCACTGACGACCAGAAGAAAATTTGAACATGTGTGAAAGTGACCCCCAATTTTTGAATAACGTAATCACAGGTGACGAGTCGTGGATCTTTGAGTATGATCCCGAGACAAAGAGGCAATCTTCCGAGTGGCACACAACGGCGTCTCCTCGCCCAAAAAAGGGAAGAATGAGCAAATCCAAAGTGAAAACGATACTCATTGTCTTTTTTGACATCAAAGGCATCGTCCACCATGAATTTGTTCCTCCTGGGCAAACCGTCAACGCCAAGTTTTACGTGGAAGTGCAGGAGACTCAAACGAAGGGTCAGTCGGGTCCGACAAGACATGGCAGCCGACTGGAAGTTGCACCACGACAACGCCCCGGCTCACACCGCCTTTCTTGTGAACAGCTACGTGACCAAGGCCGGCATCCCAATGCTTCCGCAGCAGCCCTACAGCCCAGATGTGGCCCCCCCCGGACTTTTTTTTGTTTCCTCGCCTGAAAAGGCCGATGAAAGGCAAGCATTTTGAGACGACAGAGGGGATCCAAGCAGCATGCACCGCGGCTCTCAAGGCTATTCCAGAGAATGCCTTCCGTGAGGCCTTCAATGCTTGGAAATCGCGCTCGCAGCGCTGCAACGATTGGCTCAATAATCGACTCAGTCCTATTACTTTCCGGACAAACCCTGTATGTAGGCTGTACGTAATGTTTGTCGCTAAAGAATTTAAAATTGTGGTCTGTTTTAAATATATTCTGAATCCTTGCATCCATCTTAATTGATGATTGACAAATTTTGCTAGGGGTCCGGTTTTTGGACCTAATTTACAAATCAGTAAGGTCTTTGGAATTCATCTTTTGTTAATAATTTCCAACAGGTATCTGTTTTGGGTACATTCATCTAGTATTGTACGTAAAGCTCTCTTAAATTTTCGCTTGAGTGATTGTGATTATTCTTACCAACGTTCTGGAGTCAAATCCACGATGCCTGACCACACGCTTAACTCTTTTCTCTACATGTCTTACTTCTGAACTTGTTTTGATATTGTGATCACCAAGTCTGACAGTAAGTCTTGCTACGTCCCATGAACTCATGCTGAAAAACATAATTCAAACATTTATGTGATGACTTTTTGGAATTTTCTCTTGTCCTTTCGCAAGTCTCGAAGATTATTTTGAATACACAGAGTTAAAAAATAGTCACATCACTTTTTATCAAAAAATTAAAAATGGCACCATAAGTTAACTCTATACTTCCCACGCCTTCGTTAAAACAATTCAGTATTACAAAAAATTTATGGGTTAAGTCAACGGACTATTATGTCTAATAGGTGCCTAGTATGACCGAGATCAGAAGTATACTAAAAGAACGTCTTTCACCAATAGCAGACATTTACAACCAATCTAAAAATAAATTTTTTTTTTCGATGTTTGCTCGTAGATCTGTCGTCACTGGTGCTCTCTAAAACTGTATGATTTGTTTTAAAAAAGTTATCAAACAAATTTGCATCGGATTACCACCCGACAACTTCTTGATTCACGTTAACACATCGAACGCCAGGTATTTTTTTAAAAACGTCAAATGATTAAATCTATTTAAGTTTTGTTCAATAGAATACGTAAGCATATAAATATTTTATTTTTATTTCGATAAATTCTGCGTCAGGCAAACCTAATATAATTCAACACAGAACTCATAGCTGACAGCGAGAAGTATGAATGTAATGTCAGTGATGACAACACATTGACAGACAAAGCGGTCAATGTGTTGAGGGACATCCAACAAACGTAATTGTTCGCCTTGTCTAAGTCTAAAAAATCATCTCCACGCTTAACCTTATACAGGATGTAAACGTTATGGTAGTCGTTGAAATGGGTAATAGGGGGATCAAAACAAGTCAAAAAGTTATATATGACCCATGGTCCAAAAGTCAATAGATGTTTGTCTAAATGGCTTTATAGTTTACAATTTTAAGTGCTTTATATCGACCACAATCTTACTAATTTTTATAATCTAATCTAAAACGTTTTTAAATTGGGTGATTAACAAATAAATGGTATCAAGTTTTTCTAAGTTAAGCCAAAATTTGTAGACAGTAAGTAAGTAAGTCTCATTAAATTAAATATTCAAAACACACATGACAACAGCGCGTCGGTCTTTCATCACTCTTATCGATCCTGCAATCGATCGCAAATGGTAACAGTAATTAGTTATCGTTTTGCATAGATACATTTACTTTATCGTTTTGTCGGCTCGTCAGAATTCAAATCTTGCAGCTCTAATTAGACAGAAGGACATTTGTGCAAGTGTACCAAAGACTTCCAGATACAGGAAGTGTTCAGCCCACTAATATTCGCACTCGTGAAAGACAAGTTACTGTAGAGCAGAAGGAACAAATTTTAAATATCGTGGACATCAATGCAGAATAGAATCCTGCAGGAAAATTTGCTTTATCCCTACAATGTACAACGAGTGCAGGCCTTGTTACCAGAAGACTATCCTCGCAGACTAACATTCTGTCAGTGGTTTTTGCACAAAAACATTGAATATCCGGATTTTTTTAAAAACATTCTAGCGACGGACGAATGTACTTTTACGCGAGGCGGAATATTAAATTTTCATAATACTCACACGTGGGCCCCAGTGGCGAAGCCTCCATGTAACCATTGTTACCATTGGTAACAGTTAAAAATCTTGAAAATAAATATTTTATGACTGTGAAATAATTTCATTTATATGTTTACCAACTGCAATATGTAATAGTACTTCAGTAAATAGCAAATTAGCCGCAAGAAAATACTGTCTAGATTTTGCGAACGCGATGAAGCTGACTCGCCTCGACTTGGTTGTCGGTTGTTACCATTTTCGTTTATGGATATGTTACCAGACCAACCCGATATTAGGATAAACTAGTTTTTCCTAGGTCAAATCAGTGTATCCGAAGACCGATAGGATGAACTAGTTTATCTTAGTCTAAACTAATTTGTCCTAAAATCAATTAAGTGTGATTGGGCAAAATTGATTTGTCCTAGTCTGCATACAGTCTCATCACAAAAGTAATGTTCTTATTACTAATTGAAGAAAATACTAAAATACTACTATTACAAACATGTTTAATAACGTTTATTATTTACTTGTTATTACGTGTCAAATTATTGCGGCATTTCGAGTTGCAGAGAACGTTATTTTTCTTGCAAAGGCATCGATTTGACGTACACTTCTTGGTGCAATAGCACTTAAAGAAACTTTGACCTGTTCCAACTGAATGTTTGAATGCTGCGGTTCTTAACAAAAGTTCAATGTTTCCGTCCACTTCTTCCAATAAAAATTTTTGTACGCAGATATATCAAATTCATTTCAGAAATCCGCCAGCAGTTTATACTAGAACAAATTAGTTTTTCCTAATCATAATTAATTTATTTCAGGATGAACTAGTTCATCCTATCGCTTTTAGGATAAACTGATTTGGCCTAGGAAAAACTAGTTTATCCGAAAATCCGGTTTGTCCGGTAACAGATACACTTGATAGTCCATCGGGGACCGTCGGTACCGGCTCGTGTCTGATCGCGGTCGCCAGAGTGCGTGGGCCGCTGCGACTATTATGTGGGCTTGTTACCACTTTTTGTTGTGGTTACTGACTTCTTACTCATAAGTAGCCGTTTCGGTTACCGGCTGTAGTATGCGTGCAATTAAACGAATGAATGTCGCTGCGTAATCGATCAACTACTTAAAAAGTCATTCACCTTATATAATTTTGAAGAAAAAAAAGGAGATCATTGACAATGAAGACCAACACCTATTTTAGATAATTCTAAAAATGGATAAAAAAGTATTTCGATATTTTAAATACAAAAAAGTGCAGACTGAGTTTAAAAAAAACAATGTATGTATCAAAATTGTGTTCCCTATTTATAAGTGGATTTTTTTAATACGCTCAATAAACTTTCACACACCAGGTGAAGCGCTGAGACAGTTAGTGGTAAGTCCGTTTTTCTAATTGTTTGCATTTTACGAGTACATTATCAAATAATGACATAATACCTAAGAGCGAAAAATAACAAACTCCATCTTTATTTACACTGCGTTCCGTCGTAATTTGCGTCTGGCATTGCGGCATTGTCAGATTTTATTTTACTTTAAAGTCGCTTTTCTCTAAAAAACAATGCCGTTTTGACCCCCACGTTATATGAAACTTTTTGCTTCTTTTAACCCCCTCTATCACCCATTTAAATAATGACTATCATAACGTTTACACCCCGTATAGGCTTTTACTTACTGAGCTACGCAGTGCGCTGCAGACAAAATATGCTGTTTATCAATAAGAGACCCTCCACAAAACTGTCTTCCTCCAACAAACAATCCAGCAATCCAGGGCCATTCATTCGGGTCAGCGTTGTGACCTCCGACAATCCTTTCTTGATCTTCATACCCATTCTTAGCCCCGCAACTAGCTGTGATGGGCTTTGCCCCACTCGGAGCCTTGGTTGAAGTGGGTTTAATCGCAGGAGCAGTGACGCTAGGTTTGTAAGATGTTGGCATCGAAGCAGTGGGTTTATTAGGGGCGCTTGAAGTTGTAGGGGCCACTGGGTATCCAGGGGATGGTGGATGCGTTGGTAGTGGGGGAATAGTGTGGTGGGGTGGATGAGTTGGTAATGGTGGTGGCCAGTTTAAGGTCTGGGGGTAATAGATTGATGTTTGGTTGGTGACTGTGGATGGTTTGTTCGGCTTCTGTGGTGTGCTTCCCTGCGCAGAAGAATATTTTGATAGACTACTTTGAAAGTTCTTCGTGTTTAACTAATATTGTTATTTGACGACAACCAAAACCAAAAACTCGTTCAAAATAAATTGAAAACAAGTACAGGGCTGAAAAAAGTGTTTGTACTCCTACTATGTTACCTGTGATATTGTTGCTTTCTCTGTTGATGCACTACCGGGAACTTCAGAAGGTGTTGCAGGATTTGGACAACATACTCCAAACATCTAGAAAATATAGACACTATTTGCAATTCACAAACGAGTTGAATTTATGTGAATAAAATACGAATTAGAAAAGGCTATTGACGGAGACGCACACGTTTTTCGTGTTTGAGTCCTTTAGTTGAACATTTTTGGTCCACTATAACTATACTAAAACTTCCAAAAAGCATTCTTATATACTCGTATATCCAGATCACTAACTTACCTGTCTTCCCTGACTGCTGATATAGCTGCAAGTGTCGTACATCCCTAAAAACCAATTGTACGTATTGGCATCTGGCGCCTTGAAAAATGGATAGCACATTCTGAAAGATGTGCATTTTGCTAAGATCCCTGTAGACGTGTAGCATGAAGCTGATGACACTAAATTCGTATTGTCAGTATTAATGGTATTCCATCCTTGAGGTAGATTATACAGCGATATTGCTGGATTTCCTAGCAAGATTTGTCGGTCTTTTCTGTGGTGACTCTCTGATATACTCTCTGCAGAAGAAAATATGAATCCAAAATTATTTCACTGTATACGAAATGGCTCAAGTGTGACTAAGTAGGTTCACTAAGGTACGATAAATCTTCGACCTCGACATATCAAACTATATAAAAAAAATATATCATATTTCTGTTTCCGTGGCAGATGTAGGGAAAACATGTGTGACTCATTGTCTAGCAGGTGCGTAATATTACCGGAAACAGTATCAGCAGGTCTTTCACTTACACCAAACATTCAACAATTTACAACCATTTACCATATTTATACAGCTTGCAACCGACAATATTCAACCTCTTCGAACTATGTTTAAAAATGAGCAGGAATCTCTTAAAAGTTGTAACATTATGGTCCAGCAATTTTTAATTTTTACCCTTAGTACCGGCGTACAGTGGTTCAGAGGGCACCATTTCCGCGAAAATAGTAACCAAGTATAAATATTATATTTTTTTTATTTTTTCTTCTAAAATATTTTTTTAAACTCAAAATTACCTATTTGCAATATTTTCTTTTTTACATTATGTCATCTCTCATTTATTTAACTTCAAAACCAAAAAATATTGTTTATCCATGTTCATCATAAATTTTGTTAAAAAGGCTCTGACCTATTAAGTTCAATATAGTTAACGTTTGGAAAAACAACTGAATTTGAAAGAAATGTTGACAGTAGCTTTGCGCTATCGTGGCATATTTTTTAGTAAATCCGTGCATTTTTTTCAGAAGTTTGACACTAATATGTTCCGATAAAAAGTGCAGGTATTTCCATGTTTTGAAAACAAGTTTAAAATGTGCGTTCGAGATTTATAACTTTTTGTAGACGAATTTTTTGAGTTTAGTGTGCGACAGAAACCAACCAAAATGGAAAATATTGACTTTTTCAACGAGTAGTATTTGAACAGAACCAAAAACAGAGTTCAACTGTTAAAAACGCTTAAGTTATATTTTTGTACCACAAAAGCATTAATGTAGAAACATTAGACAAACATATAACGAATTTTATAAAAAATGTGGAAATTAGATGGAAACGTTGCCATAGAGATGAGAAGTTTTTTATAAAGAAAAATGAGGCTTGGTTGAACCAAAAAAACCGGCCGTTATTACTTCAGAGCAAGAATCAACAAGAACTTTTGAAAGAATTTTCAGAGCGTTGGTAAAAGGGCTAAATAATCGAGGATTAGATTAAAAAAAACGGATACCAATTTTGAAGTAATACGTTAAGAAATGTTCATGAATTAAAAAAAATATTTGCTAACTTTCCCACCCTGTATCTCGGAATCGGAGCAATTTTGGACTAAGGTAAGTTACTTCAAATCGGTTTATTTTGAACTCAGGAATATGCGCTAAAATTTTGTAAAGACCTTTTAAGGACGCTCTGTATAGTGCCGCAATATTCAATTTTTGACATTTGTCAATTTTTGATACAATTTTTTAAAGAAAATTTCTTTAGCTTTCTAATGAGGTATGGCTCATAAAAATCGGTTTACCAGTAACAAAATTAGAAGTCTTGATTCTTTTTCGCGGAAATTTTCAAAATCTACAACTACCTAATCGATGGAAGTATTCAGTATTGAACCCGCTTACTATGCTTCATTTCTGAATTGAAAAAGAGACTTCCTGGAATTCTGAGCAATCCGCTGTTTTATAGATAGCAAGCATTTGTTAAAAACCTCAATCACATACAAAATGAATAATTCAAAAAGTGGAATCGAATTAACATTCCGGTTGTTAAAATTAGAGCTGTATTTTTTCCGTAAGTTTATTCACCTCATTTGCGGTTCTTTTTGTTTTGACAGTGCCACATTAACATTTATTTGAGCTTGCCTGGTTTACCGGACTACTAAAACAACTTTAATAGATATTTTATGCTAAACAAGTTCGATATTTATTAACACTATAGTGAATCATATGATAACTATTATAAATCGATTGTCAAAAATGGAAAGCATATCACGTAGATCGAAGAGCTTGATAGAGTCGCTTGGACATTTTATTATAAATATACGTGTTGATGTACAGGGGTCAATGATCGGATAAACCAACATAGATTAGTACAAATGATAGTCCAAAATCAGGTGAAGCAATTTTTATTTTTTTTCATATCGAAGCAGCCGCGCAGGCAGAAGCCTAAATGCCGGAACACCGCGGCTGCTATGATGATCACAAAGAAATTTTGTTAATACGATTTTTGAACTGCCTAAGGTTAGTAGAACTGGGAAAAGTTTCCTCTTGTACATTGTTCCACAATCTCGACACCCTCGGGACAAAGGAGTGGTCGTATCAGCCAGTTCTGGATGTACGTAGTTCGACACGGTTAGAATGGGGCGCCAAAGTCAGGCGGGTCTGTCTGGCAGGCACATCGCGAGGCGGCATCATGGAAGAGAGCTCTGCGGAGTAAAGCCCGTTGGTGTAGCGATAGAAAAGAGCTAGATCGCCGACGTCCGAAAGAGTCCCGAGACTGTCTGTTAGAGAAGAGTCATCGATCAGTCGGACCGCCCTCCTCTGGACAGCATCGAGCATGGATAATGTAGCCGAGGCGGCAGCACCCCAAACGTGTGAGCAATTCTCGAGGCTAGGCCTTATCTGGGCCTTGTTTAGAGTGAAAAGGTCATGCGGAGAAAAGTACTTCTTAGCCCTAAACAAAGAGCCTAGTTTTTTCCCAGCAGCTGCAGCTATTGACGAGATGTGTTCGTGCCAGATCAGGTCTTCGGTGATCTGGACTCCGACCAGCCGACATGAATGGCTCTTTGGAAGAACTCAGCCATCCATCGAAACCGGATGAGCGCTACGAGTACTGTGTTTTGGAAGCATTGAAATGTGCAAGATTGTTGCGTCCCCACACCGTGATAGCCTCCAGGTCTCTTGTCAGAGAGGAAGTCCTCGCTGGTCTTCTTTTTTCCAGCTCAGCGGCAGAGATCGGGCTTGTCACTCTGAATTCCTGCATGTAGAGTGCTGTCATCAGCGAAGCTGTATTGGGTTGATCGTTCAGGAAAAGAGGTCGTTGATATGTAAGAGAAACAGTGTCGGAGCCAAGACTGATTCCTGGGGAACGTTGACGTTGTGGGATGAAGGGGAGAACCCGTCAACTACGACGGATATCTTGAGGCCAAAGATAAAGTCAGCCACCCACCTGCAAAGATTTTCTGGCAGGCCATGGGATGGAAGTTTGCAGTTACTTAAACAGAAAATATTTTCTGCAACAGTTCGAAATATCTTTGAGTATTTATAAATTCACATTCAAGGTGGGATAACCATATTACGTACGTTATCAAAACCATCAAAAATGCTGCCTATAAACTCAAAATACGTGCATTTTTACTGACAGTTATCTCCGAATACTGTACTATGCCTTAGTTGAAACTCATAGAATACGAGGAGGTACCCAAAAATAACCGGAATAGCATTGCAGTGGGCGGAGCCTGTGTAGTACACATGTCTACCCCTAGAGGCGTACAGCGCAACTCATTAACAGTTCAGTGCCACCTGTGTTGACGATCTGGCTCGTTTCGTTCCTCTGTAGTCTTATTTTTGCTAGAGCTGTTTCGTGCTTGTTTCGTTTTTTACGATGGCAAGCGTCAGTGAGGAACGTGAGGCTGTGAAATTTTGCTTTCTAATTGATAAAAATGCTGCTGAAACTGTTTTAATGTTGAAAATAGCTTACAAAGATGATGCTATGGGAAAAACTCATGTGTACGAGTCGTTTGCTCTATTTAAAAATGGCGACATATCGATTATTTTTCCAAATAAAAATAGCACGCCACTGTTTTTTTTTTCGAAACGCGCATTTATTCGAATTTTACCTTCAATTTGCTAGAAATAATTACTCTGGCGTTTTTTCCTAGAGTGCACTGTTTTCGTAAAAATAAAAATAAAACAAATTAGATCATTCATCAAGGGCCGAGATACAATTAGTTTCAAAATAAAATAGGAGGCTTTGATACCAACTTGATGCTTCTTGAGAGAATATTTGTCAAAGTTATGTGTTATACGGTTGCTATCGTTACTAGTACCATCTGTTTTTGTAAAAGTTAATTCAAAAGTTTTTTTTGCGTTTTTGAGTGTTGTGAAATGGAATTTAGCAATGATGAGTACGCCGATATTATTTTTGTGTACGGGTTCTGTAATGGAAATGCTTTAGCGGCGTCGCGGGAGTATCAACGTGGATTTCCTAACAGACGCTAACCTACCCCAAAGGTTTTTACGCGTGCATTTCTAAAGCCATGTACAGATATGTAACAACACCGCGAACCGAACCAGTCGACGAACAACATTTCAACGAACATTACCACAAACCGAACGACGTCGTACAACCCCATCGCGCAACAAGATGACGATCCAATTTTGATGTTTGTCGTACAGTGAAAGACGAATATTAGCGGAAATGGATATAGCAGTAGCAGCAGCGCAGCTGCCTATATTTATATTCACTACAAATTATCTAAAAACGACGACGTCCGAGACGATGGTGGCAAACGCAGTTATATACCAATAGAGCACACGGTTGCGACAATTTGATAGCGGATAGTGGACAGAACAAAAATTTTACGAGGATGTCTCCGACTGACTTTCAATATCTTCTCACGTTGATTGGACCAAAAATACGAAGACAAGATACAAAGTGGAGAGCTGACATCACAGTAGAAGAAAGACTTGCAGTCACGGTGCGATTTTTAGCGAGCGGTGATTTATACAGTAGTTTGCAATACATGTTTCGAATTTCAAAGCAATCGATCAGCTTCATTATTCAAGAAGTTTGTGGGGCATTGATCGATGTTTTAACGGAAAATGTACAAGAAAAATAATTTTACTTCTAGGTACATTACAAAATAACACATTGGTGCTCGCCGCACCGGTATGCCTTTTCAAACATGTGCAACTTCGTCGCACAACATTCCTTTGATGTTACGCTGAAAAACGGACAGAGTCTGGATCGGGCCCGAACAGCGAGCTGAAACGCTTATCAGGTTCGCGACGGCGTTTTTTTCACCGTCAACACTAG